GTGCTTATGAGAATCCCTCTCATAAGCACGATCATATATGCTTGTATTAGCGTGCTTATGAGAATCCCTCTCATAAGCACGATCATATATGTTTGTATTAGCGTGCTCACGAGATTCCCTCTCATAAGCACGATCATATATGCTTGTATTAGCGTGCTTATGAGAACCCTTATTTTGGTGTATCATAAGCACACCCATATATGTTCTGATATAAAATAAATTATATTTTTTCTCAAATTGGCGGAATGGCTTAGCATATGGTTGTGATCTTAAAGATAATGAACAAGTTTATTATCAGTGATTGTTTTACAGTCAATTTCAGGGAATCTTACTATGAAAAGTCAGCTGAAATTGACTGTAACAGTACCTACAGAGTCCGCAGCACCACCACAGCAAGCAGCGGTACGTTGTAGTATTGAAGTCAATGTCATGGATTTTTACCAGTTAAGAACTGGTAGAGCTATCCAGTATAAATAAAGTTATCTATAAACTGGATCAATAAGAGATGATCCTTACTGGACCTCTAGGGAGAACAGTTTAGAGCTGATAGGGCTATCCAGTATAAATAAAGTTAGTAAGTTTAGTTTAGGTTTCCTCCTGTAGTAACACTGGATCAATAAGAGATGATCCTTACTGGACCTCTAGGGAGAACAATTTAGAACTGATAGAGCTATCCAGTATAAATAAAGTTAGTTTAGTTTAGATTTCCTCCTGCACTAGTAACACTGGATCAATAAGAGGATGACTCTTACTGGACCTCTAGGAAGAACAGTTTAGAATTGATAGAGCAATCCAGTATAAATAAAGTTAGTTTAGTTTAGATTTCCTCCTGTAGTAACACTGGATCAATAAGAGATGATCCTTACTTGACCTCTAGGGAGAACAGTTTAGAACTGATAGAGCTATCCAGTATAAATAAAGTTAGTTTAGTTTAGGTTTCCTCCTATAGTAATACTGGATCAATATTAAAGAGGTGATCCTAACTGGACCTCTAGGGAGAACAGCTTAGAACTGATAGAACTATCCAGTATAAATAAATTTAGTGAGCACATTGATTGTATGAACATTCATGTAATATATTGTGGACACATATATGTGCTGAAGTATGAAATTAATCATTTTATATTTAGCTGCACGACTGTTTATTTCAAAACGTCAGAGAATAAGCTCATATCGATCCAGACAAGATCTCTGAAGAAATATTTCCAAATTTATAAACAGGCTTTTGGGAAGTTTGCTTTTTTATAAAGTAATAATTATGGTCTCATAAAAAACGGTTGTTCGAAAGCGGATCAGTTTAAACCCCAACATTTTCTTCTTCAACTCAGTTTTTAAGATTTCGTCAAGTATTTTTCAGGCTGATAGCAGGACCGAGTTCATGTATTTCTACCCCTCTCATAAGCACGATCAAATATGAGAATCACTCTCAAAAGCAAGATCACATATGCTTGTATTAGCGTGCTTATGAGAATCCCTCTCATAAGCACGTTCATATATACTTGTATTAGCGTGCTTATGAGAATCCCTCTCATAAGCACGATCATATATGCTTGTATTAGCGTGCTTATGAGAATCCCTCTCATAAGCACGATCATATATGTTTCTATTAGCGTGCTTATGAGAATCCCTCTCATAAGCACGATCATATATGTTTGTATTAGCGTGCTTATGAGAATCCCTCTCATAAGCACGATCATATATGTTTGTATTAGCGTGCTTATGAGAATCCCTCTCATAAGCACGATCATATATGCTTGTATTAGCGTGCTTATGAGAATCCCTCTCATAAGCACGATCATATATGTTTGTATTAGCGTGCTTATGAGAATCCCTCTCATAAGCACGATCATATATGTTTGTATTAGCGTGCTTATGAGAATCCCACTCATAAGCACGATCACATATGCTTGTTTTAGCGTGCTTATGAGAATCCCTCTCATAAGCACGATCATATATGTTTGTATTAGCGTGCTTATGAGAATCCCTCTCATAAGCACGATCATATATGTTTGTATTAGCGTGCTTATGAGAATCCCTCTCATAAGCACGATCATATATCATATATTCATATATGTTGTATTAGGTGCTTATGAGAATCCCTTATTTTGGTGTCTCATAAGCACACCCATATATGTTTGTATTAGCGTGCTTATGAGAATCCCTCTCAAAAGCACGCTCATATATGCTTGTATTAGTGTGCTTATGAGAATCCCTCTCAAAAGCACGATCATATATGCTTGTATTAGCGTGCTTATGAGAATCCCTCTCATAAGCACGATCATATATGCTTGTATTAGCGTGCTTATGAGAATCCCTTATTTTGGTGTCTCATAAGCACCCATATATGTTTGTATTAGCGTGCTTATGAGAATCCCTCTCATAAGCACGATCATATATGCTTGTATTAGCGTGCTTATGAGAATCCCTCTCATAAGCACGATCATATATACTTGTATTAGCGTGCTTATGAGAATCCCTCTCATAAGCACGATCGTATATGCTTGTATTAGCGTGCTTATGAGAATCCCTCTCATAAGCACGATCATATATGTTTGTATTAGCGTGCTTATGAGAATCCCTCTCATAAGCACACCCATATATGCTTGTATTAGCGTGCTTATGAGAATCCCTCTCATAAGCACGATCATATATGCCATATATGCTTGTATTAGCGTGCTTATGAGATTCCCTCTCATAAGCACGATCATATATGCTTGTATTAGCGTGCTTATGAGAATCCCTCTCATAAGCACGATCATATATGTTTGTATTAGCGTACTTATGAGATTCCCTCTCATAAGCACGATCATATATGCTTGTATTAGCGTACTTATGAGAATCCCTCTCATAAGTACGATCATATATGTTTGTATAAGCGTGCTTATGAGAATCCGTCTCATAAGCACGATCATATATGTTTGTATTAGCGTACTTATGAGATTCCCTCTCATAAGCACGATCATATATGCTTGTATTAGCGTGCTTATGAGAATCCCTCTCATAACCACGATCATATATGCTTGTATTAGCGTGCTTATGAGAATCCCTCTCATAAGCACGATCATATATGCTTGTATTAGCGTGCTTATGAGAATCCCTCTCATAAGCACGACCATATATGCTTGTATTAGCGTGCTTATGAGAATCCCTCTCATAAGCACGACCATATAAAACATGAAAAAATATATGCTTGAATTAGCGTGCTTATGAGAATCCCTCTCATAAGCACGATCACATACGTCGTGGGTTTTCTCCGGGTACACACGTAAAAATCTTGTAACAAGTCTGCCAACAAGCTGTCAACAATTAGATGTATTCGCACTGCTTGTCACAAGTTGTGAACAGGTTTGGAACAACTTGTTGACAACTTGGAACAACCTTGTTGAAATTATCAGACTTGTTGCAAGGTTGTTCTGACAAGTCTGTTACATGCTTGATATAACAAGATTGTTACAACCTTGTGTTGACAACCTTGTAACATCCTTGTTATATCATGGCTGTAACAAACTTGTTAGCACAGTCTTGTAACAAGGCTGATAATGCCATCAACCTTGTTACAAGTTGTTCACAGCTTGTTCCAAACTTGTTCCAACAAACTGGGAACAAGCAGTGCGAACACAACTTGTTGACAGCTTGTGAACAGATTTGTAACAACTTGTTTGCAGACTTGTTACAAGCTGTGCGTTTTTACGCGTGTACTCCAGTTTTCTCCCACAGGGAATGACGACAGGGTGGGTTGGGATTAGCCCCCCTAACTGATCCTTCCACCGTAGGTGTGCTCCTTGATGAGACATGAGTGATAAGGTGGCTGCCAAAGGTGCCCGTAGAAAGCCTTCCATTAAGAAAGCATGATTACCTCTTGCGCATACAACATGACTTTGTTTACTGGGTTGACAAATCTCGGATCTGGTAGCGAATACCCGTATTTATAGCCGAGAGAATGCATCGCTTTGTCGATCCTGTAGGAAACACAAGAACTAACATCAAATCCTTGTTTACACTAGGGCCAAAAAAAAAATATGTGGGTTTCCGGTTTCTTCTTATAAAAACTTAGGTAGGGTAGGTCGGTTTTAACTTCTTTTTTTTAAACTTTTTTTTTAATTTTTCGAACAAGCGGGCGCCATTTTGTTTAGTCAGTGCTTCCACATCCAAACATATATTTCCCTAATATTGCCTCAAATTTCGATTTCCCACAAACTTTTTCCTCTAAGTGGAAACACTTACAAGCATGATCCAATAAAAAAGTTTAGGGTCGGGATTTCGACGTCCAAAAGCTAGGTAGGGTCGGGAAACCGGAAACCCACATATTTTTTTTTGGCCCTATCAAAGTTTCTGTGAGCACAGTAGGAATTTTGCATAGGTAAATTCTATGTTTTGAAAGATTTGTAAAAAATGTTTGACGCAGTTTTTAACACCGAGTCAGGTCCCTCAAACATTTCTTAGAAATCCTTCAAAACTTAGAATTTACCTTTGCAAATTCCTGCTGTGATCACAGAAACTTTGATAGTATAATACGTCATTTTGTCAAGTAATTGGAAGTGTCGCAGATGTTTTGTCCAGGATTGTCTGAAATGAGTCGAAATGAGTCGAAATTAGAGTAGTTTCTAAAATAGCGGGCACCTACACAGTAATAACAAGCGATATGACGATCAGCAAAGCAAGAAGGATAAAGAAAATGCCCAAAGCGATCTGAAACGGTCGGAACAATACAAAACAGTTCTTGCAACATTTCATGTCGGCATTGTTCAATCGACCATGTCTTCGGTTCAGTAACCTCTCCTCGTCTTCCAGTTTGGACAGTCTTGAGCGGTCACGTGTTGACATTCGACGTTTTCCCACATATTTGTCCGTCAATAAGCCGATCTGTGTTTGCAGCGTTTCACGTTTTGCATTTAGCGAGTATCTTTCGTCCTAGAAGACGAATCTGAAATTAGTAGCCGTTACCAACTTTAAAAGAACGCACAAGTTGTAACAAACCTGCAGCAGACTTGTAACAATGCTGTTCCAACAACTTGTCAACAGGATGTGTTCGCATTGCTTGTTCCAAGCTTGTTGACAAGTTGTCAATGGCTTGTTTACAACTTGCTACAAGGTCGTTGAGCTCAACAGACTTGTTAAAGTTGTTCCAACAACTTGTTATCGTCCTGCAATTCAACAATTTGTCAACAAGTTGTGAGTGACAGCCTTGTAGCAACTTGATAAAATAACAGCATTGTTACAACTTGTTGACAAGCTTACTACAAGCCTGTTGCGAACACATCTTGTTGACAAGTTGTGAGATTTTTTACGTGTGTAAACGGGCCATACAATTTCTCGCTAGATTTAAGTAAACTTGCATTAACTTGCATACAAACCTTTATACTTCTGTACAAACCTTAGTTTATACTTGCATACAAACCTTTATACTTCTGTAACCTTTGATAAGTTCAAGAGGAAGCACTGACATACCATACGCCTAAATAACAAGACATGCATGATGTGAGTACAATAAGAAAACAGAAGCTATCAATAGAAAATATTTCATTGATAAGAAACATTTTATCAATAAGAACATGAGACAGGATAATCATGGTTCTGGATGGGTTAGGCCGACACACTTTGAAAATGGAATTACGGTGTTTGAAAACCAAGTTCTGGCACTTGAAAAGGGAGTTCTGGCATTTGTAAAGGGAGTTCTGGCACTTGAAAAGGGAGTTCTGGCATCTGAAAAGGGAGTTCTAGCACTTGAAAAGGGAGTTCTGGCATTTGAAAAGGGAGTTCTGGCATTTGTAAAGGGAGTTCTGGCATTTGTAAAGGGAGTTGTGGCATTTGTAAAGGGAGTTGTGGCATTTGTAAAGGGAGTTGTGGCATTTGAAAAGGGAGTTGTGGCATTTGAAAAGGGAGTTCTGGCATTTGAAAAGGGAGTTCTGGCATTTGAAAAGGGAGTTTTGGGATTTTGAAAAGGGCATTTTGCCATTTGAAAAGGGCGTTTTGCCATTTGAAAAGGAAGTTCTGGCATTTGAAAAGGGAGTTCTGGCAGTTGAAAAAGGAGTTCTGGCATTTGTAAAGGGAGTTCTAACTTGCGTTTCTTACTGTGTAACTGATGATGGAGATCATGCCAACGAAAGTGAGAAGGCCAATGGTGAAAGTCAACGCTGTTTCACCATCTGAAACAAAACAAAACAAAACAATTACGATGGACACCTTCCAGACTATGGAAAGTGGCTGCCAAATCCATCATACATGTAAAGTAACGTTAGTTTAGGTTTCTTCTTGTAGCAACACTGGCCATAAAGATGATCCTCACTGGACCTCCAGGGAGAACAGTTTGGAACTGACAGAGCTATATATACAGAGCCATCATATACATGCAGGCATGATTGCACATTGAAACATACGTGAAGTTTTTATTTCATTCTTGAGGTAGTTCAGTTTATCATCCCACTGCGTCACATTGCTCGGAGGATGTTTAAGCGGAACAAAACTCCTGGAAGCAGAAAAAAAACTGAGTAAAATCTTTGCTTTGTTTAACCCCTAAATGCTTTTATGTGCATATCCAGGCATTAATGACCTTGACATTGGTCAAGACAGCCACCACCAAATGAAAACTAGACTTAACCAAGATTATCACATGGAGGTAATCCCGAAATTAACATGCGTCCGCAGTTTGGTTGCGGTCTGACTGTGGTTAGTCAACAGTTCAATTGAGGTTTACTTGCACTAGTCAATTAGTGGTTGATCCAAGCATCTACCATATACTATATTATCGTAGAATGTATAAAAGAATAAACATGTCCATACCCAACAAGAAGAATAATCGAAGCTGCAATGATGAAAACAATTGTGTATTTCATTGCTCCACACATTCTCTAAATAAAACATTATATGTTTCAAAAATGCAGTCAGATTAAGGGGGATTGTAACTGGCATGTCAAAATGTTTGCAGTTTTTACAATAATAAATAATCGACAGTTTCTCAAGTATTACATGATAAACCATTGTGATACTTACCATTTTGCAAGTGACTTCATCATCTTGTTCTTCAAAGTAAAAATACATGAACGGCAAGATAAGGAAAAGAAACAAAATGACCACTGCATAAAGACCTAAAAAATAAACAATTTTCCAAATATTGCATCTCGCGTTATAGCTTAATTTTATAGAACATATACTAATTTCATTTTATTCTAATGAAGATGTATCATTTTACGAACCGTAATAGGTATAGCTTATATTATCTTCAAATGAACTTCTGTCTGTTAAATTGGCCGCCCAGCTCTGTTGTTAACAAAAAACAAATTGATTGATTAGCTCATTGAGCGCTGGTGCTCTCCCCTTGACAAGTAAAATTGTCTGGTGTTAGATAGAGTAAAATAATAGGGCAGGGTGCATTGGGGCACAGTATGACTCGGATGTCGTCATTTCCAAATTGTCAATTTCACGACATTAGGAATATAGTCGCATGCCAAAATGTTTCGACACAAAACATGTCATTGTTTTGGAAGGAAGGATCTATAGTTTTGGTAATAAAACACCCTACTACATTACCTTGAAAGTACCATCAGACGTTTTCATGTAGGACACAAGGAAGATATCCAGAGGTACCATAGCTGAGGTTATCAAGGTGATGGTGAGAGCAATGATTGCTGTGATGGTCGTCGACATCTCTGATTCCAGATGGTCTTGATAATAACGAACATAGATCCACGAGAATACGAAAATAATCTTAAGATGAAAAAATTGATATTTTAAACTCCCTCGTACACTCAATAGCACATGGTTGCCCTGTAATCATTAGGCGTAAAAAAAAAAATACCTGTGGTTCCGGTTTCATATCATGAAAAAATTAGGGTCGGTAGGTCGGAAATAAATTTTTTTTTTTGAATAATTTTTTCATGGTTTTGGCAGTTTTTGCTGGGCGATTTGCAGTAGAGTCCCGACATCAATATTAACTAGAGATGCGTATTTCCTTTGGACAAATTTAGGCAATTTGGTTCAATAATTAGTGTGACAACAGACGCCATTTTGGCACGCTGTATGAGCAGCCCGTAACCACCTGGAGAAAATAGGGTTGCACGGTCAATCGCGTTGAAAAAAATAATAGGGTCGGCAGAAAAAAATAGGGTCGGTCGGGAACCGGAACCACAGGTATTTTTTTTTACACCTTACTAAAGGCTGATTTCTATTCTACGATTATTGGTGAGCATTGCAGCCTGGCGAGATTCTGCGAGAATTTCAAATGTGTAGAGGACCTGAGACCGAGGTAAAAGTTCTATGACTGTTGTCAAAAACTCGTTTGTTTTTTTATCACAAAGTGTCGGGTGGATAAATTAAGATGGGCAGTTTTGGATTCACCAATGGTCATAGAATCAACAACAGCGAGTGTCGATGGTCACAGTATCAACATTGCAAGTAAAATTAACCACCCTTGAAAGCCTCGCATGTGGTTTTAATCGACATAATGGGTTAATCATGTGAATGGCAAACAATAGACTTCAGCGAGGAAGATTAATAAAAAAATTAAATCTATTTCTGTCTAAAAATTAACAATCAATTTTTGAGGTCAATTACCTCGTCTATACGCCTTGCTGTATTATATTCCAGTAAAGAAAACATGTTGTATAGAAATCAATGATTCGTGCAAAAACAAGTACCGTATAGGTCGTATAGCTGAGTGCATGCCTTTATAGTCAATATCTCAATAACATCTCCATATATTTCCTAATTTCCATTCAAACTACTTACAAAAATAACAACAGCGAAAGGAATCCAGCCATGGATCAAGACTAGATGAGGTATACCCATGATTTGTGAAGAAAAGACAATATTTTAGAAGTTTAAACAGCGAAAAACAACAATAAATTCCTCCAAAATACAGTTCTTTGAAAGTAAATAATGCAAATTTGACAACTTTCGCGTCCAGGCTTCTTTTCGAGATTACGTCTTGTGCGGGCGGAAACCTGCAAAAACGTCAAAGACTGAAACGTGTATTCGCAATTTTGCTGAATTAGCAGAATTTGGTTTCCGAAAAATACTTTTAAAAGGAATAGTAAAAGAAAATATGACATAGTTGTCGGTTTAGCAGTGTTTTTACCGTATAAACACGAAGCATTGATAGATTTTTTTTAGTTTTAAATTATTTTTTAGGCTTCATTTTAGCGCCTGAATCATGCGGGTCTGAGGAATTTAGGGCTGCATATTATAAAGTCACGTGATTGTTTTTGGGAACAGGAAGAAATCAACATGGCGGAATTTTATAGAAATTTTTGTACAACGATATTTTGATTAAAAATTTCCTCATTCTCGTTGTATGCTGCACATTTCAAGCCAAGCCACGCCATGCACAAGAACACAAAGACGAAGAATGTATTCCTTTTTCGAGCGTTGGAGAAAATCCTTCACGACAAAGAAACGAAGAAATCACATCACTCACAATTAAAGAAAGCTTGTGAAACTGCTTTAGGTAATGGTCAATAAATATTATCAATGAAGTGTTTATGATGTACACAGTGTGTTCATTGAATGAAAATGTGTTTATAGAACTTAAAGTGTTTATAAACCTGCCCGGTTGATTCATAATGCCAGAAATTACAAGGTTGCAGTGAGGCATTTAATTTACTACATAATTATTTAAGACAATAGCATATTAGAATCGAGCGTTACAAAAGTTCTAGTGTATTAATATATTGAATAGCTAGTATATTAGTTAGAGCGCAGAGATTTAGTGGATTTAAGAGTTTTTACTGCATATAATGTATATGCACAACGTAATTAGAAACATATGTCAAATTGTCTATGCAATATTGGCCAGATCATATTCTAGCTATATATTGTATACAGTACTTGTCATTATGACAGAGCTTTGGTCCTTTGGATGCAATTACCTGAAAAAAATACAAGGAAATTTTTAAGTTTCAAGCAAAGGCCCTATTCGTCAGGATGTTTATACGATAAATATCAGGAAGTAACAATAAATAATTATAATCAAACAACTCTATGAAATACTTGAATGATTACGTTTTGAGTCTGGTGTCTTTCTTCATTCATAGACTGAGAAGCATTTATTTTTAAAATAATTCAATTTTTTTGTAATTTTAGAAGAAATAAACACTGCCCAAGGAAATGGCAATGAAAAGTCCACAGGGTATTTATATCAATTATGATTTTTTATGGATTAATAAGTTTCTTACCATATAAAATATGCCATGAGTTCTATCTCATCTGCTTTAATTCCTTAGAGTAAAACCCAAGTCAAACGTCCGAGTCACTTAAAAAAAGACAAAATTGAATAAAATTCACAATAGGAGTAGGGTTAGGGTACTAAGTCATTGAACTACAAAGACTGCTAAACAGTGACTCAGATATTTGACTGAGGCTCAGATTTGACTCAGACTTGGATTTGACACGGTAAACCGACAAACTAACTTTCCTTAGAGGTACAATACACATTCTATTAAGGCCCTGTCATCTACACAATAAAACTAGTCACATACGATTGCCATTCTGGCATATAAAAACGACTGCTACCGCCACTATTCCTAAAGTTTATGCCGAAATTTGAAACGTGACAACTTTACATGCGTTTATTCATGCCAGGATAAGAATCATATGTGACTAGTCGTATCGTGTAAATGGGACTTTACTCATTCTAAATGTTCAAAATTTCTCCACAGCGACAGTTCTTCAGCGACACTGCCTCCACCTCCTGGACAACAAACATTCATCACAGCGGATCAATATTTCTTGCCATTTGAACTGGCTTGTCACTCGAAATGTTCAAGAATTGTTACCACTGCCCTCGACTGTATACAGGTAATAAAGGTCATAGCACAATGTGTAATACTGTAAGTTCTTTGTATGTTTGCGTAGAGATGATTTTTTTAAAAAAAATTATTTAATGTCGAATGACACGGAGTGTGGTTGCCCAATCACTCGAGCAAGGGGCTCATCATAGAAGTGCTCGACAATAATGTAATCTTGAACCATCGGTGCCAGTGTAGGTAGCGACGATGACAAGACAGCTCTACGGATTGACAGAGATCCAACTGCCTGAAAAATACTTAATAGAACCACAACATAAAATTTGGAGCGAAGCCCTTCATCGGGATATTAGTAGACAAGGAATTATCTAATCATCAAGAATTTTGGCTACTAACTTCCTGACGAAAGGCCTTTGCTCGAAGTTATTGTCTGTTTAAGCAAGTTAATTCTAAAGTAGATTGAGATTGCTAACCAATTGAGTCACATTGCGGCCTGATGTGCCCTACTTTATTATTTTACTCTGTCTAATGCTAGATTATTTTACTCTCATCTGTCTAACGCCAGACGATTTTACTTGTCAAGGGGAGAGCGCTGGACCTTAATGGGTTAATCAAGAAAGCTGTGAATTGACCATTTGCATAATAGACTAAATTTTGAACTAAACAAGTCTAGACAAAAATTTCATCACAGCTTGAAGGAGCATCACAAAATTAGTAATATTCCAAAGTTTTGTTGCAAAATGTTGTAAAATGTGGAACATATAGCCTTGCAAATTTGCAATTTTCAGTCATTTTAGATTACAAACGGGAAATTGACAGCCCCAAACCCTTCGAGGTTGTCAATTTCCGGTTTGTAATCTAAAATGACTGAAAATTGCAGATTTCGCAAGGCTATATTTTCCGCATTTTACAACATTTTGCAACGAAACTTTGGAATATTTACTAATTTTGTGATGCTCTTTCAAGCTGTAATGAAATTTTTGTTGAGATCAAAATTTAGTCTATTATGCAAATGGTGAATTGAAAGGTATTCAACTAGTGACTACTGGTGTCAAATGCTTTCTAATTTCATTGTAATTTCATTGTTTCCTAGAAATTGATTGCATATGGTCATATAATTGGTGACACACCTGATTCAATCGAACCCGAGAAACGTTTGATAGACAGGATAATTGATACAATCTGCAGTTGCTTCACCGGCATTCATACCGATGAAGGAGTCCAACTTCAAATTATCAAGGTACATGTATTTGTCATTCATTGAACTTATGTAAATTATTGCTTTCCTGACCGACCCTATTTTTTTTCTGCTGACCCTATTATGTTTTAATGTGATTGACCGTGCAACCCTATTTTCTCCAGGTGGTTGCAGGCTGCTCATACAGCGTGCCAAAATGGCATCTGTTCTCACACTAATTATTGAACCAAATTGCCTAAATTCATCCATAGGAAATACACATCTCTAGTTAATATTGATGTTGGGACTCACCCAGCAAAAAAAAAAATCGCCCAGCAAAAAAATGCCAAAACCATGAAAAAAATATTTAAAAAAAAATTTATTTCCAACCTACCGATCCTAATTTTTTAGGCCTAACAGGTTATCACAAACTGAACTATATTTAACTATTATTTCATATTTTGTGTACCAGGCATTGCTGACTGCCGTCACATCAAGTACATGTGAAGTTCACGAAGGGACCCTGCTTCAAGCTGTTCGTACAGTGTATAACATCTACCTTGCCAGCAAAAACCTCATCAATCAAACTACAGCCAAGGCAACTCTCACGCAAATGATCAGTTTGGTCTTTCAGAGAATGGAAAGCCAAGCAGTAAGTCTGTTATTATGTGTGGAAAAAGAGCTATAGATCTAAGCTACAGTTGACAGTTGTTTCATATTATTCTGACACCGCAGAGTACAACAAAACATTTGTAATAATAAATAATATAATAATTTGCAGTAATAAATTTACGTGGTGTTTCCACAAACAAAACCTATTAAAACATTTGTTGTCTCAAGCGGGATTCAACTCTTGTCTTCGGGTATCTGGACCGCAGCTTTGCCCATTGAGCTATTGAGTCAACAGGGATTGTAGCAAGTCTTACATATAACATTTCATTTAGGTGGAAGCGGTAAAACTCCAAGAAGAAATGGCTGCAGAAAGGTTGAAAAATGAAGAAGAGCAACGTGGTTCTGAAGAAAAGCAAGATGAAAGTTTGAAGAATGATGGAGAACATTTGAAGGATGATCAGGCTTTGCCCAATGGTGAAGTTGTTCAAGATGAAGACGAAGGGGTTGATTTAAGAGGTAGTGTACATGATTCTACTGTATATTTATCAACAGATGATATGTGTCTTTTAAAATTCCTATCAAGGTCTAACTATTTATTTCACCTTACAGAGGGTGATGTAGATAGCCCAGCAGTGGAAGAAAAAACTAACGATGAAACAGACAATACAAGCAACTCACAACCTGATACTCTTGAAGCTGAACAAGCACAAAATGATACTGCAAATGACTCTACTGTTTCAGAACAGGCCCAAAGCGACGGGACAACAGAGGGCTGTGAGTCGTCTGACGTTGTGAACGAAACAAGTGCTGATGTTAATGAACTTCGAACTGATTCGGCTGGCCCGAATGATGCTGCTCCATCGAGCGAACCAACGTCTGAAAATATAAATGAATCCTCTGAAAATATAGAAGAAAATTCCGAAAGCATATCAACAAATAAAACTGAGAACAATTCGTCAGAAAATGAACCGAAACCAGATAATCAATTATCTGAAAACAGCCAAAAATTGGATAACCAAAAACCTGTAGAAATTCCACCAATTCAAATTCCTGACGATAGTCAAAGCAAGACAAATGTCTCCATACCAGATGATACTTCAGAAAGTCATGAAGAAGGCTTAGAAACAGCGCGAAGTTCAGTCTCTGAAGCTCAGTCTGATGTACACAGCGAGGGAACTGGCGATGGAAAACCACATCAGAGGTTTTCTCATATCACTCAGAAAGATGCGTTCTTAGTTTTCCGCTCACTATGTAAACTTTCCATGAAGTCTTTGGCTGAAGGACCCCTAGATCCCAAGTAAGGATATTACTAATATACAGCAGTCAAAACTTGTTTTCTATATTCCTCCTGAACTACTGTATCAAGGGCGGATTTTCATTTTTTTTAAAGGAGGAGTGGAAACATTTCTAGTGGGGTGCAAACGATACTACTGAGCGAGCTTCGGCAGGGGTTAGGCGTTAGGGTTAAAGACTTTTACACGAAATAGGGGTGAAGCGAAATTTCGGTGGGGTTGAACACTTTATAAGAGGGATTAGAGAGATTCTAGGTGGGTTTAACACCCCCACCCCATGTACTGTACAGGGTATCTAAAAAAAACGCTATAGAAATTCAACAGGCTGTCGTGCATCATAAATGTGATGATTTTTCTGTGTTGGTGTAATGTACTCAGGTGAATATGATGCTTGTGATGTTACTCTGAGTGTAGATCCACACCGGGCAAGCTTGAAAAATATACCTGACCACGGTGGTCAGGTATATTTTTCAAGCCTGCCCGGTGTGGATATACACTCAGAGTAACATCACAAGCATCATCATAAACGTGGCTAAACAATTCAATTTTTACATAGGACGAAAGAACAGTTATTTAGTTTTTGAATGATACTCTTTTTAAATCGTAACGATGAGAAATGGCCACATACTCGTCAAATAAAAATTGCCGGTCGAAATCACATTCTTCCACCGTTGGGAATTGAAAATACATACGAAAATTTTTAATTGACGAGTATGTGGCCATTTCTCATCGTTACGGTTTAAGAAATATATCATAGAAAAGCTAAATAACAGCTCTTTCGTCCTATGTAAAAATTGAGTTGTTTAGTTAAGTTTGTGATGCACAACAGCCTGCCGAATTTCCATAGTGTTTTTTTTTTAGACACCCTGTATATGTTAACTTCATTTACACTAGATACATGTAGCTCTATCATTTTTAAGCGCCGCCATCATATTCTCTTTATTTCCACAGATCTCACGAACTAAGATCAAAAATCCTTTCTTTGGAACTGTTGCTATCGTGTCTTCAAAATGCTGGTCCAGTGTTCCGTACTCATCCGATGTTTATCAACGCTATCAAACAGTATTTGTGCGTGGCGCTGTCTAAGAATGGAGTCTCTTCCGTTCCAGCTGTGTTTGAACTTTCTTTGGCAATCTTCTTGACTTTATTGTCGTATTTTAAAACTCATCTTAAAATGCAAATCGAGGTATGTGTGCTCGTTAATGTAATTTTTTCAGGGGTGGGACCTTTGTGTCGAAATCGCCAGAGCGAACGTCTTCCTCTGAGTTCGTGGATTCGATTCTCGCTGTGAACTCGTGTGAAACGAGTCTGTCAATGCTCTGCCGAAAGTTGTGGGTTATCTCCGGGTCTCTTCCCACAGGGTGGGTTGGAATAAGCCTGTAACTCACCCTTCTTGCGTAGCTGTGCTCCGTGATCAGACATGAGTCATAAGGTGGCTGTCAGAGGCGCCCTTAGAAAGCCTTCGACTCGATCAGGCTGAGCTGCGTCCTTCGTAATTCAGTTTAGCTCTCAGCCGCAAGAAAGGATGGTTACCACGCCTCTACTAACATCCCAGTTTATCATATATTTTAAAGACCTAATCCTTGAAGTTGATTTAAAAACAAATTTTTGTCCGATCTAGGTTTTCTTTAAAGATATATTTCTAAATATCCTGGAGACCTCGACCAGTTCTTTTCAACACAAATGGATGGTAATGCAAACATTAACAAGGATTTGTTCAGGTAGAGAATTGCCCTAAATTTAACAGTACAAAGAACGGTTGCATGACGTTATATATTACCATTTCGTAATGATGTCGCGAGCAGTAGGTTTAGATTACAGTTAGAATTATGATTACGCTAAATCTCACAACTTGTCAACAAGATGTGTTCGCAAGAGGCTTGTAGCAAGCTTGTCAACAAGTTGTAACAATGCTGTTATTTTATCAAGCTGCTACAAGGTTGTCACTCACAACTTGTTGACAAATTGATGAATTGCAGGACGATAACAAGTTGTTGGAACAACTTGCAACACGTCTGTTGAGCTCAACAACCTTGTACTGTTGAGCTCAACGAACTTGTAGTGGTACTATCTTGTAGTGGCTCAACGAACTTGTCAACAAGCTGGGAACAAGCAGTGCGAACACATCCTGTTGACAAGTTGTTGAATAGCATTGCTACAAGTCTGCTGCAGGTTTGTTACAACTTGTGCGTTGTTACGCGTGTATAGTCGCAAGTTCCTTTCCTTGGACTAATCTGCAATGGTAACCAAACCATCCAATTAATGTTTTGTAAAACTCTACACACTACACATGTATATACTAGAAAGTCACCCATCCTTACACTTATTATATTGTGTTCCACAGACGCACAGACCGTTGTCGACATCTATCTGAACTACGATTGTGAGCTGGCTTTGTCAAATATTTTTGAAAGATTGATCAACGATCTCTCGAAAGTGGCGCAAGGACGTCAAGCCATTGAACTGGGCGCAACACCGGTAAGTTGCATACCTTAGTATTTTCCTACTACGCATATATTAGAATAGTTCTATGGTCCCCATTTTACTACAGCTGCGATTTTATTACTACAGTGGATCATCAATCAAGAAGCATCATTCTCATTTGACAGACTGGGGGGGGGGGGCTGGGGGCAACGCCCTCCTGTCAATATGAATGGTAGCTGAATCACTATGTTCCCAGAACTGAGATTTGCTAAAAGGATGGTAATACAGTGGTAACACGAAGTGTCGACCACTGTCGTTCGTTTATAGTGACTGAACAGCAACTAGAGACAACTGAAAATACCCTTCTCTTATGCAGGTGCAAGAACGAAGCATTCGCATCAAAGGTCTTGAATGTTTAGTCTCAATCTTAAAGTGTATGGTGGAATGGAGCCGTGATCTCTATTTTAAACCTGATTCACAAGTTGATGATAAATTAGGTAAGCTACTGTATGGCTTAGGTATATCCAGTGCTGAGTACTTATCCAGTGCTGAGTACTTATCCAGTGCTAAATGTTTCAGACTTTGAGGATGGGACACCGACCATGCCTCGCAAAGGAAGTACACTCGAGGAAGAAGGTGCTGTAGATGGTGACTTACAGTCAAAGACAGGAGGAAGTCAAAACTCGCTCAATAATGGCCTCCCTCTTGATAATGCTGAACAGTTTGAAAGTTTGAAACAAAAGAAAGAAACGAAAGAGAAAGGCATACAATTGTAAGTAAGGCGTACAATTATGTATTGTAATTGTATACAACGTTAATTTATATTGTTACACAACATTAATTTATATTGTTACACGTAGTATAAATTGATGTACTACTGTATATTTTTATCAATCAATCGAAAGCCACCTACCTCGAATAGCTTGCTAAATGTAGGTGGTTTCTTGTAAATTATTTTGTAAAAATTATTTAATTAACTTAAAATTGAAGTAATTAAACCTCATGACACTGAATGGACAACGTCAAGTGTCCTCTTTAGAGAGATATCACAGAGGTCTGACACAGACAAAACCCGTAATCGCCACCATGCCATGCAATCCAGTTCACAAGGTTTCAATCCCAAGCCAGATCTTCATCAGCGTCTGTTTTGCTTTGTTTCAGATTCAACAAAAAAAGTCCTTCCAAAGGTATCAAATTTCTTCAAACTGAGGGTCTTTTGGGAGATTCAGTGACTGAAGTCGCGCAGTTTTTACACGCGGATGATAAATTGGATAAGGTCAGTGAATATTCCATCAGTGGGAACAACAGTATCCCTTTGGCCCCCTTATAAATACTTGAATTGAATTCAGCGCGAGACATAATCACGCCACTGGTTATCGTTATAAAGTATGCCTGTTTTCGGCATACCTCGTAACCATGGTTTGTGGCTATAGAGTCTGAAGAACATTGCAAAAGATTGAAAAGATTATTGAGCTGGAGACTAACCCACGTATTGTAGTTTCAATCTGTCAACCGCGGGTGGAGGACAGTACAAGTTGGTATTGTTCATTGGTTTTCCCTGTAGTTGTTTATAAACAAGTTTGTAAATGTTTCTGCTTTAATTTAGACAATGATTGGAGAGCTACTTGGTGACCCTGGCCAGTAAGTATTCGTTTGATAATAGACAATTCCCATTATAGACTAATTTTAAAACTAGGCAAGGAGATGCAAATAAATCACACCAGCATACTAAAATTGGTGATATTGCAAAGTTTGGTTGCGAAATGTTGTAAAATGCTGAAAATATAGCCTTGCAAAGTTTGAAAATTTTGTATACTTTTGTATTGCGTGCGGAAATTGCTACTACATTTGAGCCGAAAATGGTAGGAATTTCCGCACGCAATACAAAAGTATACAAAATTTGCAAACTTTGCAAGGCTATATTTTCCGCATTTTACAACATTTCGCAACCAAACTTTGCAATTTTACTAATTTTTGTATGCTGTTTGTAGCTGTAGTGATTTATTTGCATCTCCTTGCCTAGTTTTAAAATTAGTCTATAATGGGAATTGTCTATTGTAAATTGAATTACCCCCACCCCCTCCTCCCCCCACCTCTACCCCCGCCCTTATCATCAGGTTTCCCACCCGTTGTGTACTGGAGAATAAGAGTCACGTTGCAAGAAATTCTATTTCTTTTCCTTCAAGTACAATAAGGAAGAGAATTGGATAACTGCAGGTTTACCACCATCTGCTGCAGAATGCTTCATGAAACCCATGTATAGGTGTAAACTTTTTTTAATTCAGATACGAGCGTGAGGTGATGTACGCCTACATTGATCAACTGGAATTCTCTGGGATGAATCTTGTGCAAGCTCTACGTCTGTTTCTTCACAACTTTCGCTTGCCCGGTGAAGCGCAGAAGATTGACAGGCTGATGGAAAAATTTGCAAGTAGATTTTGTGAGACGAATCCAAAGTAAGTTTGCTTGTCTGTCTGTTTCTTGTCACCGTGAATTATTTTATCGTCTTTATTTTACGCCATGACTGCAGACTTTGAAGAATCATGGAGCGACGTTACGTTACCTCCAAAGTTTAAGGTGCTACAAGCTCCAAATTGAAATGTTAAAATGTGCGCTTTAAATCTTTGAATTAAGAATTCAGGAGTTACAGGTCACGTGGAATGAGTGGTACTGACCAGTATATAATCTAAACCTGCAGTAAATGACTGTCAACTCCAAACATAGTCTAAAAATAAGGCTTGAATAGATTGAATAAATTCAATGTCTTCGTATCTGACTATTTCTTTTTGTTCATTCAGTGATGATGTATTTGCAAGTGCAGACGCGGCTTACGTGTTGGCTTACTCTATTATCATGTTGACCACTGATTTACACAGTTCTCAGGTAAGACATGATATAACTCACAGTATATCATCTTGAATAAGTCAACTTTATTTAGATAGCTCTACCAATTCTAAACTTCACAATTTCATGATGTGTATATTTTTCAGGTGAAACGTAAGATCACGAAAGAGCAATATATTCAAATGAACCGCGGTATCAATGACAATAAAGATCTTCCACCTGAATATCTAGAAGCAATATATGATGATATAGCACATAATGAAATAAAAATGAAACATACACCGAAAGTCAACAGCAGACATGACGCCACGTGTGAGTTGGTTGTTTGGTTTTAAAATTAGTTTACTTTCTACGTTTGTGGATTACAAGCGTAAAAAAATAAAAATACCACAGCTTGTCAACGAGATGTGTTCGCTCTGCTTGTTCCTAGTTGTTGACAAGTTTGGAACAAGTTGTTATCATCTTGTAACAAAGTTGATGAGGTCGACAGACTCGTAACAAGTTGTTAACAAGTTGATGGCAACAAGCTCATAACAACTTGTTCCAGACTTGTCACAACAACTGGGAACAAGCAGTGCGAACACATCCTGATATCGGCTTGAGAACAACATTGTTACAACTTGTTTGCAGACCTGTAACAAATTGCGCGTTTTTACGTGTGTAATGTGAAAGAGGCGAATTCATATTTTTAACTCTCTCTCTCAGACTTACAAAGTGAGAAGCATCGTCGTATGTTGTACTCCATGGAAATGGAACACATGGCGGAAAATGCCAAAACACAAATGGAAGATGTCAGTCACATTCAGACAGACTTTGTTACCGCTACACAAATTGGTCACGTGAAAACCATGTTCAAGGTAATATTCGATGTTTAGGTACTATGGTTTTTAAAGTTGAAGTCCTCATAAGTTAAAAGACGGAATAAGCGAGATTAGAACTCTCAGATCGGACTTTTGATTGCTATTTTGAGCCATGATTATTAGATTGCATTGATACCGCGAAGCTCAGTTGGCAGACCATTGGGCTAGTATCCCAAAGGTCGTAGGTTCGAATCCCACTGTGGCCAGACATATTTTTCAAGCTTTCCCGGTGTGAATACGCACTCAGAGTAACATCACAAGCATAATCGTTCTATACCCATTGAACAATTCTCATCTTCGTTTCACCGAGACTTAAATTTTCGAGGTTTTACTTTTCCCGTTCACTTCAGGTGGCTTGGAGTCCATTTCTGGCAGCATTCAGTGTGAATCTTCAAGACAACGACGACCCGTCTGTGGCATCATTGTGTCTGGATGGTATTCGCTGTGCAATCAGAATATCCTGTATCTTTAGTATGCCTGTAAGTCTTTATATCACTACCACTTATAACCACAACAATATATTTCACACTACAACACACTTAACTCGAATTTCACAAACTTTGTTGAAACATGAATTGTATATATTACTTCAGTTGGAGAGAGACGCATTCGTACAAGCCTTGTCAAGGTTCACACTTCTTTCTGCGACCAGTGGAACTCATATTCATGAAATGAAAACCAAGAATATTGAGACGATCAAGACATTAATTACCATCGCTCAAACAGATGGTAATTACGTCGGGAAATCTTGGCTGGAGGTAAATATTATACATACTAACCCACGCTGTCTAACTTTAACTACTGTATTACACATGTAAAAATCTCACAACTTGTCAACAAGATGTGTTCACAACAGGCTTGTAGCAAGCTTGTCAACAAGTTGTAACAATGCTGTTATTTTATCAAGTTGCTACAAGGTTGTCACTCGCAACTTGTTGACAAATTGTTGAATTGCAGGACGATAACAAGTTGTTGGAACAACTTGTAACAAGCCTGTTGAGCTCAGCAACCTTGTAGCAAGTCTGTTGAGCTCAACGACTTTGTAGCAAGTTGTCAACAAGCTGGGAACAAGCAATGCGAACATATCCTGTTGACAAGTTGTTGGAACAGCATTGCTACAAGTCTGCTGCAGGTTTGTTACAACTTGTGCGTTTTTACGCGTGTACTACAATTTTTAAGCAAGAATCAAACCTACGCTATCACACAATTGAAAGACATTCGTTCTAACGACGAACTTTATTTTCAGATTTTGAAATGTATTTCTCAATTGGAGCTAGCTCAGTTGATCGGCACTGGAGTGAAAACGCGATATCTTCACACGGGAGCCAGCGGTGTTACTAATTCTGGGACAACCCCTGCGTCCAGCGGTAGGACGGCCTATGACGTCACCTCAGGTAGGTGAACTTCACAATGATTTTATGAACTATATGTTTTTCCAATGCAAAAGTTGTTTCATTCACTGTTATCTGTTAAGGTCGTACGCCAGCGGACGCAAAGAGAATGGCAAGCGCTCAAGAAGCTATTGGAGAAACAGCAACACAAAGTGTCGTCGTCGCTGTGGACAGGTAATCTCATTGTATCTTTCATGTAGTTGCATCCCTATAAATCTCAAGCTTTCTTATTTTTGTCACAGACCGTCCACGATATTTGGCCATACTAATATGTATCCTCTGACTGTTGTAGGGTTTTTACGGGCTCAGTGAAGCTGGATGGAGATGCTATAGGTACTATTCGATATATTGAATTGAAACAACTTTTCCAGTTTAAAATGAACAATATACCATTAATGTGTGTTTAACAAGGACAAGACTACGGACATAAATTGTAACAAAACTGCAGCAGACTTGTAGCAATGCTGTTCCAACAACTTGTCAACAGGATGTGTTCGCACTGCTTGTTCCCAGCTTGTTGACAAGCTTGCTACAAGGTTGTTGAGCTCAACAGACTTGTTACAAGTTGTTCCAACAATTTGTTATCGTCCTGCAATTCAACAATTTGTCAGCAAGTTGTGAGTGACAACCTTGTAGCAACTTGCTAAAATAACAGCATTGTTACAAAACTTGTTGACAAGCTTTGCTACATGTCTGTTGCGAACACATCTTGTTGACAAGTTGTGAGATTTTTACGTTCATTTGGATCGTATGATACTTACCATTCGTATCGTATTTTTATATTCAGTCGACTTCGTCGAAGCTTTACGACAGGTTTCCGAAGTGGAGCTCTCGAACCAGACGATGATCCGAATGTTCAGTCTTCAGAAGATTGTAGAGATTGCGTATTACAACATGGGTCGTATCAGGTTGCAGTGGTCGAGAATATGGGCTGTGTTAGGTGATCATTTTAATAAGGTTCGTATTATTTGTTTTTTACTGCATAGCAATATCAGATCCGTTCAAAATGTTCTCCCTACAGGTCCAGTAGGGATTCACCTTGTTGGAAAATTATACTGGGTAGTAGTTTTATCAGTTCTAAACTGTTCGCCCTAGAGATCCAGTAAGGATCATCTCTTATTGATCCAGTGTTACTACAGGAGGAAACCTAAACTAAACTAACTTTATTTCTACTGGATAGTTCTATCAGTTCTAAACGGCTTTCCGTAGAGATCCAGTAAGTGCATAGATATCAGTAAGTGTCATCTCTTATTGGTCCAGTGTTACTACAGGATATTTCTATATTGAACCCTGAATTTAAAACCTAAAATTAAAACCTCAATTTAAAGCCTCAATTTAAAGCCTGAATTTTATACGTGAATTTTATACCTGAATTTTAAACCTGAATTTTTAAACCTGAATTTCACTGGATAGCTCTATCTGCTCTAAACTATTCTCCTTTAATTAGTAAATTTGCAGCAGGCAACAGAGTCTGAATGTGTATACGGTTTATTTCTAAATGCGATTGTCTATCTGTTCTTACAGTGTGGTTGCAATCCCAATGAAGAAGTGGCTTTCTTTTGTGTTGACTCTCTGCGACAGTTATCTATGAAATTCTTGGAAAAAGGAGAGTTGCCAAACTTCCGATTTCAGAAAGACTTTCTCAGACCTTTTGAATATATCATGAAGAAAAATAGGTAAGGTGGTGCGTGTGTACAGTAAGTAACAACAACTCAGTGGCGCCGTGGCCGGGGGGGCCAGGGGGGGCCATGCCCCCCCCCCCCTACTGTGAAGACCCGTCGGAAAATTGTGAATGTGCTTAAAAAGCGACCCATCTTATGAGTTAATTGGCGAAGTAATTTTAAAAATAAACATTATTTGTCTAACCCGAGAAAATCAAAGCTGAAGTTCATGTAAATCAGGACAAATCTTTTTCCGATTTACAAACATTGATTAAACATTCATTTCTTTTGTATTTTCCTCGTGAATTATTAGTGGGATTTTTAAACATACATAGAATAAACAACAGCAATCAGTAAACAACAACAATCAGTAAACAACAACAACAACAACAACAATCAGTAAACAACAACAGCAATCAGTAAACAACAACAGCAATCAGTAAACAACAACAGAAATCATTAAACAACATCAGTAAACAACAACAGCAATCAGTAAACAACAACAACAACAACAGCAATCAGTAAACAACAACAGAAATCATTAAACAACATCAGTAAACAACAACAGCGATCAGTAAACAACAACAGCAATAGTAAACAACAACAATCAGTAAACAACAACAGCAATAGTAAACAACAACAGCAATCAGTAAACAACAACAGCAATCAGTAAACAACAACAGCAATCAGTAAACAACAACAGCGATCAGTAAACAACAACAATCAGTAAGCAACAACAACAACAACAACAGCAATCAGCAAACAATAACAGCAATCAGTAAACAACAACAGAAATCATTAAACAACAACAATCAGTAAACAACAACAGCAATAGTAAACAACAACAATCAGTAAACAACAACAATCAGTAAACAACAACAACAACAACAACAACAATCAGTAAACAACAACAGAAATCAGTAAACAACAATCAGTAAACGACAACAGTCAATAAACAACAAGAGCAATCAGTAAACAACAACAGCAATCAGTAAACAACAACAACAACAATCTGTAAACAACAACAATAATCAGTAAACAACAACAGTAAAAATCTATTCAAAACATATTTATCATGTTTTTATGTAGCTCGGCGACAATACGTGACATGGTAGTTCGCTGTGTCACACAAATGGTTCACTCTCAAGCTGTGAATATCAAATCTGGTTGGAAAAATGTCTTTTCTGTTTTTCATTTGGCTGCATCAGATCATGACGAAGGAATTGTTGAATTGGCTTTCCAAACTACAGGTTTGTGGAACAATATTCAGGTTTTGTATGGCTACTGTAATTTCTTTCTGTAGTAACACTGGATCAATAAGAGATGATCCTCACTGGTTCTCTAGGAAGAACAGTTTAAAACTGATAGAGCTATCCAGTATAAATAAAGTTAGTTTAGTTTAGGTTTCCTTCTGTAGTAACACTGGATCAATAAGAGATGATCCTCACTGGTTCTCTAGGAAGAACAGTTTAGAACTGATAGAGCTATCCAGTATAAATAAAGTTAGTTTAGTTTAGGTTTCCTTCTGTAGTAACACTGGATCAATAAGAGATGATCCTCACTGGTTCTCTAGGGAGAACAGTTTAAAACTGATAGAGCTATCCAGTATAAATAAAGTTAGTTTAGTTTAGGTTTCCTTCTGTAGTAACACTGGATCAATAAGAGATGATCCTTACTGGTTCTCTAGGAAGAACAGTTTAGAACTGATACCTTGACATTCCCTCATTTTTCTAGCCACGATTTTTGAGAAGTACTTTTCTGCGACCATTGACTCGTTCCAAGACGCAGTGAAATGTCTCTCGGAGTTTGCATGTAATGCGAGTTTTCCTGACACGAGTATGGAGGCGATTCGTCTCATCCGAAATTGTGCCAAATTTGTCTCTGAAAATCCCACGGTATGTCCTTTGTTATAATACTTAGTAACTCCCGGGTGTCCCAAAAAAACTGAACACTGTTTGATTTCGTGTAACGTAAAAGCTATAAAAGCTATCGCAATGAAATAAATATCATTGCATTCAGAAAGGACTAACTTAGATTTTGATATATAACACTTGAATTTACATGCAATATTGACTGCGCTATTGATGTTTGAACGTTGAACTACTGTTTTTGAAAATGCCAAAAATTAGCGTAGAACAACCTTATAATTAGCCAATTTTTACCGAGGTTCACCAATTCCTAAAACGCATGCCAAATTCAAACAGTTGTATCTCACTCAATATTGCATGTAAATTCAAGTGTTATATATCAAAATCTAAGTTGGTCCTTTCTGTATACAGTGATCGTTATTTCATTGCGATAGCTTTTATAGTTTTTACGTTACACGAAATCAAACAGTGTTCAGTTGGGGTTTTTTGGGACACCTGGTATATGATTGGAGTTCATCAATTTGTCGCCACGTACTGTACTTGACATTCACTGGAAACATCTAACTGATCTAGGTGTTTCTAATCTATTTCAAACACAGACCACGGCAGTTTATATTGATATTTATTTCTACCAGATGTTTAAAGATCATGGTAGTGAGGACGCTGGCATTTCTGAGCAAGATCGTATTTGGGTCAAAGGATGGTTTCCAGTTCTGTTTGAATTATCGTGTATTATTAATCGATGTAAACTGGATGTCAGGACCAGGTAGGAGTTTAGAATTTGAGGAAATCATGATGTCTTGTGTGACAAGAAGGCTTCCAGTTTGACTCAACAGAATATCGGATTATCCTATGATTGCTTTACCACTCTAGGGAGAACATTTTATAGCTGATAAAGCTGTCCAGTATAAATAAAGTTAGTTCAGTTTAGGTTTCCACCTGTAGTAACACTGGATCAATAAGAGATGATCCTTACTGGACCTCTAGGAAGAACAGTTTAGAACTGATAGAACTATCCAGTATAAATAAAGTTAGTTTAGTTTAGGTTTCCTCCTGTAGTAACACTGGATCAATAAGAGATGATCCTTACTGGACCTCTAGGAAGAACACTTTAGAACTGATAGAGCTATCCAGTATAAATAAGACCATTTCTTGACAGAGGCCTGACAGTGATGTTTGAAATAATGAAGACGTATGGCAATACTTTCCTTCAACATTGGTGGCGTGATGTCTTTAAAGTTGTCTTTCGAATATTTGACAACATGAAACTTCCGGATAGACAGATTGATTGGCAAGAAGTATGTTGTAAAATTTAAATATCACCTAATTCTAAGAAAGCAACTCTACTGTACTTTAGGAATTTAGATTATTCTCTATATTTACTTTTGGGGCTTCGGTGGAGCAATCATCAGGGCAAACGCCTTTCTCGCCTCTGAAGTCCTGGGTTCGAGTCTCGCTACGGACGCATGACACCTGTGTGAAAAGAGTCAGTCAACGCTCTACCGAAAGTCGTGGGTTTTCTCTGGGTACTCTGGTTTCCCCCCACAGGGAATCTCGACAGGGTGGGTTGGGACAAGCCCCTAACTGACCCTTCCACCGTATCTGTACTCCGTGATCAGACATGAGTTATAAGGTGGCTGTCAGAGGTGCCCTTAGGAAGCCTTCGACTCGATCAGGTTGAGCTGCGTCCTTCGTAATTCAGTTCAGCTCTCAGCTGCAAGGAAAGATGATTATCACACTCCTACTTACTGACTCACTTATTAGCAAATCGATGTTTAGAAAAGCTTAACGTTTATATAGTTTTATAAAACATTACAGTTAACTGTCTCTGTTTGTTTTTCTTTAGAAATCGGAATGGATGACAACGACATGCAACCATGCTCTGTATGCTATTATTGATGTATTTACTCAGTATTTTGATATCCTGGCTGAGATTCTCTTGGATGATATGTACGGTCATCTTGAATGGTGTGTCAAACAAGGTGATTATATCTTTCTGACCTGAGATGATCCTCACTGGACCTCTAGGGAGAGCAGTTTAGAATTGATAGAGCTATCTAGTATAAATAAAGTTAGTTTAGTTCAGGTTTTCTCCTGTAGTAACACTAGATCAATAAGAGATGATCCTTACTGTACCTCTAGGAAGAACAGTTTAGAACTGATAGAGCTACCCATTATAAATAAAGTTAATTTAGTTTAGTTTAGTTTAGGTTTCCTCCTATAGTAACACTGGGTCAATAAAAGATGACTCTTACTGGACCTCTAGGGAGAACAGTTTAGAACTGATAGAGCTATCCATTATAAATAAAGTTAGTTTAGTATAGGTTTCCTCCTGTAGCAACACTGGATCAATAAGAGACGATCCTTACTGGACCTCTAGGGAGAACAGTTTAGAACTATCCATGCATTCGAGAGTCGACTTTCTTAAAAAATGTTTACTGTGCAAACTAAACTAATGTATATGACGATAACAATCACATTTCCTTGCCTTCCAGATAACGAGCAGCTTGCGAGGTCTGGGACAAACTGTTTAGAGAATCTCGTGGTTTCCAATGGCAACAAATTCTCGGAAGAGGTCTGGGAGCAAACATGTCAATGTGTCAAGACAATATTCGAGTCGACGATACCTGATCAACTGTTAACGTGGAGACCCGCTGACCAGAAAGTACTGAGCCTTCCTACTCCTGACTCCACCCCAGTCCCTTCGCCTATTAAGGTGAGATAATTACTGAACAAACTTAGGTCGTTCAGGTTGATTTAAATTCTTCTACTTTGTTGGACTTTCATAAATCTTCATTTAGAAAATGCCTTCGGTTGACATGGAGGATGATATAGTCCCAAAGTATCCTGAAGGTAAAGAAAAATATTTTCATAAATAACAAAAAGTAGCTTTCCCATTTCTGCTTTTTGATGATAAGACAAATTTTGCTTGCCCCAATATTTTGCTCATGGTGAAGATATTTTTCAGACGAGGAGGAACTAGATGGCGTGTTGGAGTCAACTGATGGAGTAGGCGAAGACGACGAGATGGTGGCCTTTAATGAAAGTTTTCAAGAGACAAATGAGCAAGATAGTATTAGTTTACACAGCACGCCAAGTTTACGTTTTGAACCTGTGGAGGAACACAAACCAAGTGAGTTGACCGTGTAGGAAAAGGTGGTATATCAATAGCCCACTTCCCCTTGTCGATGAGTTAAGACTGCTACTGTAGATCGGCTGTATAAGAATGGATGATTGCATTTCTTGCTATGAATGTTAATAAAACTGACCAGTACACTTAAAAACTATTCAAAAGACACGAATATCTGAAAAGAACACACGTCTAGTTGATCGGTCATTTATCACTCAAAGGTACAACAGAGTCCGGGTTAATTTGTTATAACATAAAATTGTCACAAAGAGCACGATTGGCCTTTCTCACGCCGCCATTTTTGGGTGGCAAGTCTACGAGATAAGTTCACATAACAGCGACTTTTTATAATTTTCTTGACGAATGATGATAAATTTGCTTTGTAAATGGTTTGTTTATTTTGAAAAATTGCTTTTCACTTTGTTTCAATTGTCTGCATTGGTTAACGAGAATTGGATGCCACCCAAAAATGGCGGATATTCGTCATCGTAGGAGAGGCTAATTCTCATTTATTCATTCCCTAATTTGGTCAATCGCTAAGTAGAAATGTTCACTATAATTTGTATTTTCTAGTAGTCCAAACGGAAAGAATGCTGTTCAATTCTCTCATCATAAAATGTGTAGTCCAGTTGGAACTGATTCAAATGATTGATAACGTCGTGTTTTATCCAAGTACCAGTAGGCGTGAAGACGAGGACAATATGGCGGAAATACGGGTAAGAATGGCTAACGTAGGGATAAAGTTGGATAAATTTTGTGTGCCATGCCTGGAAATTTTTTCTTTTGTGGATGTAGCCAGTTTTTGGATGCAGCAAGTTTCTGCCGACGCAGCCATTAAATCCAGACGTAGACATCTAGATATCTTATATACACTACTGTAGATAACGCATCTCTTTTAGTAAAATTGAAGCCAAGAATATTCCAGCGATTACCCCCATTTGAATATATGGCGGCCATGTTGGAGTTTCTCACTCCACTTGCTAATAAACGCTTAAAAAATAGCAATAACTTCCATCATTTGAATAGTTTGAAAACGTACTTGGAATAGGTTTAACTTAATGTTTAAGTTCCCTTTTTAAGAAATAGAAAACATACCAATCTTCTTATTTCATGGGAATATCCTGAGTCTGCAATCACGGCTTCAATTTTTGAATTGCGGAATAATTAGATGCACTATCTATAGTGTATATAAGATATCTATGATCTAGCTCCACATGATTTTTGGATGCATGTAACTCTAGAATTCTTAGTGCATGGAAGTCCAATCGGAACCTCTCTAATAAGTAATAACACTGTTCCAACATCGTGTTGTAATGAATTATTATTGTCGCCATGTAGGGTATGACTGGACCGCGACGTGTTAACAAACAAGAACATGATGGGATGTTTCCACAACTCACTTCTCAACAACTTTTCTTATTTTGTGAAGTTTTGGAGGAATCCCATAAGTTTGCTAAAAGTTTTAATTGTGATAATGACGTACGGACGGCCTTGTGGAAAGCTGGTAAGCGTCTCCTCCCAAGCATCTTATTCACCTGAGTACAATACACCAACACAGCAAATTTCACATCCATCACATTTGGTTTTACTATGATTTTCAGCTTAACTTGTGTGATTCAAATAAATGGTATGAAAGATTAATGTTATAATTCTTCTCGTGCAGGTTTCAAAGGTCAGTCGAAGCCCAACTTACTGAAACAGGAAACATCAAGTCTCGCCTGCTTGCTCAGAATTCTTTTCAGAATGTATGACGATGAGACGAGGAGAGATTCGTGGCAAGACGTCGAACAGAGAATGTTGAGGTTTGTCCACACATTGCTTTCAAGCCAGTTTTTCCTTCGCAATTCAACCTCGGGTACAAGGAAAGATGAGCAGTGCTTTATCAGATATAAACACGAGACGACAGTCGAGTCTCTTATATCTGATAAAGCACAGATTGCGAATGTTTTAAATGGCTAAAAAAACGACGCGTCTTACGAGTTCATTGGTGAAGTAATTTTAAAAAGCAACGTTGTCTAAGCCGAGAAAATCAAAGTTAAAGTTTATGATTTTTTATCTCATTATAAAAATTACCGACATGATAGTCATTTCTTTTGTGTTTTCCTCATGAATTATTGATTGTTAAGCCCTGGGCAAAATAGGAAACATTGTTGCGGAAACATTGTTTCCTACCAATGTTTCGCCATGTTTCCAAGAGTGGAAACATTAGTGAGAAACATTATAGTGAGAAACATCAAATGTTTCTCAATTTGCTAGGAAACATGAAGCAAATTTTGTTTCCGCAACAATGTTTCCACGGGAGGGCAAACAGGGAAACATTTGAGGAAACATCGAGAATCACAAATGTTTCCACAACAATGTTTCCTATTTTGCCCAGGGCTTTAGTAATCTTTAATATATCCCATCTCTAGGATATGCAATGAAGCTCTACAGCACTTCAATCAATTACAATCAGCGAGTCATCGAGATGCCTGGACGACATTGCTAGTCCTTATTTTCACCAGACTGCTTCGTCTTGAAGACCCCAGGGTAAGTACAGCAATACTTGATTTGGTTTTGCTCACACTATCAGAGGAATCCTAGCCTCCTTCTTCCCCAGAAAATGTTGAAAACCAGGTGTCCCAGACTGGCTAAAAATGCATTTGCCGGTCAGCTTTCTAACTTTGACTATTTTCTTTTTCGTAGTTTAAAATTCACATTTCATCATGCTACCCGCATCTGTGTGAGATGATTGTGTTTGATTGTAAACTTGAACTCAAACTAATGCTACGTAAAGTTCTACAAAGAATAGCAACTACGTTTGGAATCACCAGCTCACAGAGTTAACAGAAGTTCGCAAGCATAAACCAATTTCCCATCATGGCCTGAATGAATTCTATAAAGCCTGGTTGACACTATCAAAGTTTCTGTGATCACAGTAGGAATTGTGCATCGGTAAATTTTAAATTTTGAAGGATTTATAAGAGCAATGTTTGATGGAATAAACAAATAACAAATAACATGGAATCAGTATCCTCAAAGATTTCTTCCAAACCTTCAAAACTTAGAATTTACCTATGCAAAATTCCTACTGTGATCACAGAAACTTTGATAGTTTAAACCAGGCTTAACACACCACACTGGTGCTATCTATGTATCATGCAACTGCTTAACAAACGATACGTTATACAAGTCACCTTAAGTGATATTATCAACGCAGAATATGAATTAGCCACAACAGAAACCCGCAAAGCCGACGGGTCAAGCTAGTGTTTAGGTAAACGTATCAGAATTGTTCGTTTTTACAATGCAAAGCAACGAATTTGATTTCATTTGCATGTATTGTCTGTAGTTATAATTTATTTAATTCTTATTTGTGATTAATTCTATCGGCATGGATAATTCTGCTCAATATTTTCACGCCGAAGCAGAACACAAAATGAAGAAGCTGCAAAGTCGCTTTTTGATCGAATTGAAATTTTAAAACCTGATGTTTTAATGTCAATTTCTATTATGATAGTAGAGTAATAGCATTCACGAGGAAAATTGAATTAATTTAATAATAATTAAATACCATTTGAAATGTTCAGTTTGTTTTTTATAGTGGACATTTTACAAGTTTTTTTATAATTTTATCGTATTTTATGATAGTCTGTAACATAAATTATAACATGTATGCTACGCGAGACCTGATTGGTTAGTTCGCGTGCTGCACGACCTCTAATTGGCCAGTTGCCAAAATCATTTTTCCCGCCAAAACATCACAGCAATTTCTGTTATTTCTGTTGTTCAGTTATTCATCTTTAAACAAACTATAGTTTAAACAAACAGCATAGAATTCGAAAGAAAATAAGCATTGGAAAGAAAATAAGCATTTTAACTTCACTGCTATGGAGTATATAGTCGTCATTGGAAGTTGACAGGAGAAATGAAAGAATATAGCTAACAAGGGAGTGTTTGTCATCGGTGAGTTCAATATTAATTTACTAAGGGACAAATTAAGAACGTTTCCTTCAGGAAACATGGCTAGGAAACAATGTTTCATGGTTTGCCCACCTTCGGGAAACATGGCTAGGAAACAATGTGTCCTGGTTTGTCTACCTTAGGAAACATGGCTAGGAAACAATTCGTCCTTACGACAGACAATTTTGCGTGTGAAGATGGCGTAATGAGTATTCTATGATATTGTTTTACACGCACAATATTTCCTAAGCTGAGCCACCTCAGTACATATTTGGTCCTGACTACCTGAGTCAATCCTAGTGATATCAGTCTTGATAAGAAACTGCTGTTTATAGAATTTAGCTTCGACTGTATACGTCGCGTTGTTAGGCGCAGTAATGAATTGCACTTGATAGCGACAGAAGTACATCTGTGGTGGATTGTTTTGCGGGCCAAACCGTGGTGTGTAGCTACGGTCGACATGTTTAAAGCGTAATACAAGTTCATTCGGCCGTTCTAATAGTGCATGAGTTACTCTTTGTAAAGAAAGTGTCTTGCATTGCGAAGCATTACCACTTTTGTTTGAAATCAATAAATTCATCCATTCGATGGCAGCGAGTGCAACCTTTTGCACATGTCTGTGATTGGTGTCAACCGCTGACCAACGCAAACACGGGCACCAAAACCCAGGCACAAAAGCATCGTCACATGTACGAGATTTTGGGATTTCTGTGAACAGACTCTGGCCGTGTTTTATACCCTTTGGGAGGACTGGGTACGAGAGCATGTGACGTAATGTCGCGTAGACATCGTACCACGTCGTAAGCCGATTCCCATTCTTTCGTAAGTTCTCGTCAATGCTCGGGAATTTGGCCTTGAACCATTTTGGAAAAGCCATTGAAAAAAATGGCATGCGTTCTTCTAGTTTTCCTTGTATAGTTTCTCGTACCTTGCCCCAGCGTACGCCGTGGTCGCCCATCAAAATGAGTATGGTGTTGTTTAACACGTTTGTAGAGTTTAGATCTTTTAGTAAGATAAGCAGATCCCGTTGTAGTTTTTGTACTCGACTTAATTCATGATGAGAGTAACCAACTGAAAATAGAAAACATATTTTAATGAAGAAATGTTTCGCTACTCTAAGCTATTCTGGTGCAAGTAAATAATGCAATCCCCGACTAAATTACTTTCCGTGGCCGGGGAGAGAAATTTTGATCAAGGCAAGAAGAATGAAATCCAACACAGCTAGAAAGAACGTCTTAGAATGAGTAAAACTGCAAAGATTGGTTGCTAAATGTTGTAAAATGAAGAAAATATAGCCCCGTGAAGTTCGCAAATTTTGTATATATTTGTATTACGCGCGGTAAAAATAACCTCTTTCGGCTCAAAAATGGTTATTTTTCCCGCGCGTAATACAAATATATACAAAAGTTGCGAACTTCGCAGGGCTATATTTTCCTCATTTTCCAACCATTCGCAACCAAACTTTGCAATTTTACTCATTTTAAGATGCTCTTTCCAGCTATGGTAATGGGTTCCGTTCTTCTTGTCTAGATCAAAATTTCGTCTACAGCTGTAATCATCCATCATTTCTGGTAATACTCTTTTTTATTGACATTCCTGGTTTTCCAAATGCAGTCTTCCTAACGCTCGATAAAAAAGTTCAAAAAATCCTGGGGACAATAAAGCTCAAAAAGTGAAGTTTAACATTGCACTCACTAGCAAAAGAAACGAAGAACTTCAATTTATTGGAAAATACTTTAAAAAAGCTCCTGATGAAATCATATTGATATTGGTTAACATTCCTTGCGCCAACGCATTGATCCACGCCTTTCATTAATGCCTTGGTTCTTCTGAAGAAAGGTATGGGGTAGTAATCGGTGGGTGGTGAGGTGAAACCTACCAATCGCCAGTTGAATGGTCCAAGATGTGTACCATCTTCGTTATAGCCAGTAATGTAGCCGTGTTCTACACAGAGAGAGACAGAAATATTAGGGAACGGTCATTATTTATGGAGGAGGTGGCACCGAAGAGAAGAGGGTTGGTTAAACAAAATTTTGAGTGAATAAAAGGTTTGGAAATGAAAAATAAAACAACTCAAGGGTTGGGTAATAAAAATCTATCGTCATTTCTAAAGCATGACTCACTCTACTTTTGTAGACTGAAAAGCAATGTCAACAGTTGTATGTCAATACAATCTGTAAATCAATCGGAGTCACTATCTTGATCATTTTCCGATTTGTCATGAGGCAAATGGCGTCTCCAAGAAAGTATATGTGCAGACAACATGAACTTTAGACTGCAGAAAATTGCACAAGCAGTCTTCAAACTCATCTCACACAAGTGGTAAAGGACATGTGTGACAACTGAATAGTATCCTTTTGTAAAGTTTTTGGCCAGGAGTGGGTATTTATTTTTAATGACGTTTCAGCAAAATTTTTACCAAGAAAAACATTTCTCTTCGGTGCCCCGCCCATAAATAATGATCGTTCCTGAAGTGGTTGGAACATTGCGTTGGAATGACTGAATCCCTACATTTGAGATATTTTGCCACAATTTTCCTACCTTTAAGTTGTTTATATATCCAAGGCCAGTCATCGACTTTACGAGGTCTAGGCCTATCAGGTCTTGCTTCGTAGAGCTCCTCCATAAATTTCCTTCCCGTTAACATAGGAGCCATTTGTTCCAATGTCCCATCTCCTGTCACGGAATGTCCATGAAAGAAATACGCTCCAAGATCATCACGGAGATATTTATAAACAAGTGGAAGCTTGCGTTGCGCCGAGCCGTGAGAGACTGAGTCTAGTCCAATTACCAAAACATTAAGAGGTATTCCAGGTTTCCTTTTCGCTTCGCGTTTTAGTAAGTTTTCGTGCGGAACTGCGTGCAGGAATAATTCTCTTGCGTGTTTGTTGTTGTCTAACACGAAGTCAACTTCGATAAGACCTTCCGAGATCTTTTCACCAGGTATGACAGGCTTGCTCCTACTCCTGTAGTAACCGGTATCTTCTTGACGTAATATCGCTTGGTACGTCGCTGATTTCACTTTCGGATCTGGAGAAATATAATAACGGTCATGAAGGCGTACAATGAGAGCTGGTATTTGCCTTTGTTTGGTTTCCTTCTGTAGAAACACTGGATCAATAAGAGATGATCCTTTATGGAGAACAGTTTAGAACTGATAGAGGTATCCAGTATAGATAAGTCAATAACCAGTTGTGATCTTACCTGTAAATTTTAAAGCACCATCCACTAACTCACCATACCGTTCTCCAGAACACACGGGATCAGCGGCAGGAGATATAAACTTCATGATCTGTGGGTGAAATGGATCCATAAAAGGAATCCGACAACCCACGTTTGAAGGCAGTGGACGTGCCTTGCCTCGGATGATCGAAGCGCATTGCTCCTGCAAACCAGAAAAATTAATGTTAGCCTGGTAGCCATTAAAGCAATAATTTGTGTTCAAGAGAGGATCGATTCTACTCATTAGAGAGGTTCAGATTTGGTTTAGCAATAGAGGATTCATTGTAGCATGTTAAAATTAGTAAAATTGCAAAGTTTGGCCGCGAAATGTTGTAAAATGATCATGAGGAAACTATAGCCCTACTAAATTTTCAAATGTTGTATTACGCAAAACTTTCGGCCCAATTGTGGTGCATTTTCTCATTTTACAACAATTCGCGGCCAAACTTTGCAATTTTACTAATTTTAACATGCTCTTTCTAGCTGTGGTGATGGATTTTGTTCTTCTTCCCTAGATCAAAATTTAGTGTATGGCTAGAAAAGCCTGGAATCATCCATTAAAATTTGACTTTGATTTTTGCCCACCTGCGATTCCTTTATTGTTGGACTGATCCATTCGTCTGGTATTTCCAGTTCAATTCCGGTAACATTGACATTTGTTGTGTTCTGCAAAAATAGACTGTTAGCTTTCATTTCAAACAAGCTTGACTTACGGAAGAGCTACTTGAGACACTATGTTCGAGGACTTACTCTACTGTTGTTTCTCGCAGGAGAATTTCCACGTACTATATGCCTGATTTGGGAGGGTGATACAGCAACTGCAGGCTAAATATAAAACGATATTACAAGGGAAAATGAAGAGTACACAATGTGTATAGTTGCAGGCTCTATCAATTATCGGTTTCTTACTGGTTGTGTGGTTTTAGTAGATGTAACTACAATTTCTTTATTTCGTCCTTTAACGCTTGGGGGCCTCACTGAAATGGACATCTGCAAAAGAGAAAATGTGACATATTGGACCCTTTCCATTCTTCGAAAACCTTGCCCTTGGACTACACACGTAAAAATCTCACAACTTGTCAACAAGATGTGTTCGCAACAGGCTTGTAGCAGGCTTGTCAACGAGTTGTAACAATGCTGTTATTTTATCAAATTGCTACAAGGTTGTCACTCACAACTTGTCGACAAATTGCTGAATTTCAGGACGACAACATGTTGTTGGAACAACTTGTAACAAGTCTGTTGAACTCGACAACCTTACCTTGTAGCAAGTTGTCAACAAGCCGTCGACAGTTTGTCAACAAGCAGTGCGAACACATCCTGTTGACAAGTTGTTGGAACAGCATTGCTACAAGTCTGCTGCAGGTTTGTTTTTACAACTTGTGCGTTTTTACGCGTGTAGATCTTTCTAGCAACACAGAGACGGAAATCTTGGCATTAAAAAAGTACCCAAGTAGCCTCTACTCATACTTAACATAAACAACTGATATTGATAGGAAATAAACTATTTCAATTCATACCTTCCACCATTCAGAATTCGTGTTGAGAAAAAGGGAATTATAAAGAATGAATCTTAACAAAACGACACATACCAGTAGAATGAAACAATTTCTCAAAGAAAATTGACTAAACATTTTACAAATTCTAACAGTATCAAATTCACTGTACACAACAAAATGCCGTTCTGTGTTTCCTGCGGGTACTGCCGAGTTGTAAATTCAAATGACTTGATAGTTGTTTACCAAGCCGATTAATATTCAAGTCACACAATAAACATAAATTTTATTGATTGCCTCGACGTATTTTGAAGACAAACGTTTGATGGGAATATTAATTTTTGCCAGCTTTTCAAGTATTTCACCTTCTAAACTGCAACCAAACGCGGTATTTAAGTTTCTATTGTATCACACAGTGTAGCTAGCTATAAATAGACAGATTTCTATTTACATACATTTTTAGTTGCACCCGTAACGGGTGGTCATTCTGTTCAGCCTCTCATTCTCATAGACTAATGCACTAAGGTGTAACATTGTTGTAACAATATTGTTTCCTAGCCATGTTTCATCAAGGATGGACAAATCAGGAAACATTGTTTCCTAGCCATGTTTCTTGAAGGTGGACAAACCAGGAAACATTGTTTCCTAGCCATATTTCATCAAGGATGGACAAATCAGGAAACATTGTTTCCTAGCCATGTTTCCTGAAGGTGGACAAACCAGGAAACATTGTTTCCCCTAGCCATATTTCATCAAGGATGGACAAATCAGGAAACATTGTTTCCTAGCCATGTTTCCTGAAGGTGGACAAACCAGGAAACATTGTTTCCTAGCCATGTTTCCCGAAGGTGGACAAACCAGGAAACATTGTTTCCTAGCCATGTTTCCCGAAGGTGGACAAATCAGGAAACATTGTTTCCTAGCCATGTTTCCCAAAGGTGGACAAACCAGGAAACATTGTTTCCTAGCCATGTTTCCTGAAGGTGGACAAACCAGGAAACATTGTTTCCTAGCCATGTTTCCTGAAGGTGGACAAACCAGGAAACATTGTTTCCTAGCCATGTTTCCCGAAGGTGGACAAACCAGGAAACATTGTTTCCTAGCCATGTTTCCCGAAGGTGGACAAATCAGGAAACATTGTTTCCTAGCCATGTTTCCCAAAGGTGGACAAACCAGGAAACATTGTTTCCTAGCCATGTTTCCTGAAGGTGGACAAACCAGGAAACATTGTTTCTTAGCCATGTTTTCTGAAGGTGGAGAAACCAGGAAACATTGTTTCCTAGCCATGTTTCCTGAAGGTGGACAAACCAGGAAACATTGTTTCCTAGCCATGTTTTCTGAAGGTGAACAAACCAGGAAACATTGTTTCCTAGCCATGTTTCCTGAAGGTGGACAAACCAGGAAACATTGTTTCCTAGCCATGTTTCCTGAAGGTGGACAAACCAGGAAACATTGTTTCCTAGCCATGTTTTCTGAAGGTGGATAAACCAGGAAACATTGTTTCCTAGCCATGTTTCCTGAAGGTGGACAAACCAGGAAACATTGTTTCCTAGCCATGTTTCCTGAAGGTGGACAAACCAGGAGACATTGTTTCCTAGCCATGTCTCTTGAAGGTGGACAAACCAGGAAACATTGTTTCCTAGCCATGTCCTTTCAAAGGCAGTCATGACTTTGAATCATTCAAATCCAATTCACAAACATTCTGTTCAGTAAACTTTAATACACAGCACGCAAAACGCATTGAGAATATATTTACACAAAGTTCCGTCTTTAATCTTTGCACCATTATCGCCATAACGCGCAGTCACTTTGGAATACAGATGAACCGCGTATGCATGCCTTCGCAAAGTTCTCCAATTCATATTAAATACCGGCCCTGACGTCTCCTCAAAACACTGTTCCTGGATACCGCGATAGAAAAACATATAGAAAGCCGCACGCGCTACCGTCGTGACGTCATTACTTGGATTCTCCGCTGACCATTTGCGCAAAACTCGGCTCAATAACAGAGGACCGTTATCCGACCATGCTTGAGAATAGCGATTTGAGAATCGTTTGATACACTCGTGCAAATATGGGTGGTGTTTTTGAAATTTTAAAAACGCACCGTTCAAGTTCATTGCGCTTTCCCAACCTATTATATTTGGTGGTAGCTCGTGTAACTCACGCACAATAATCATATCAATGTCCAAATATATTCCGCCGAATTTATAAAGAATTAACAAGCGAAGTAGGTCTGTTTCATGGCTATACCAGTGTTCTCCTTCTTGAGCATAAGACAATTCATCTCGTACGAACATTTCGGCTGGTGTACCTAGTAATTATAATAAAGCAATTATTTAAGGATTGCAAACTTGCACAAGAACAACCTGTACCCCCTTAACCTTGTTGAGCTCAGCAACCTTGTAGCAAGTTCTCAACAAGCCGTTGACAACTTGTCAACAAGCTGGGAACAAGCAGTGCGAACACATCCTGTTGACAAAGTTGTTGGAACAGCATTGCTACAAGTCTGCTCATGCAGGTTCGTTACAACTTGTGGATCATTACGTGTGTACCCATTGCCATTAACATGAGACAATAATTTCGAGACAATCACCTTTAGCTAAGTCAGCCATGTTGTATGGCTTCACTTGAATTTCATAACCCGCTTCCCTCAGTACATCAAACATCCTCGATTCTAGAGTATTACTGTGTAGAATAACCGTAGCCAGGGGATGGTGATAAAATATAGATTCCAGACATCGCCAGATCGGAAGAGCGTAGCTCCCTTTCACATTACCGCCTTTCTTCTTGTCCTCCAAGGAAATCAAACTCTTCTCTGACGTTGTAAATATCAAATGAAAGACAACGCTTTCTACTTTATCAGAACGCGGTCGAGTAAATGGAACCACACCAAATCTCAAAGCTGATTCCAGCACACTTTCATGTCTTCGCATTGCATTCCATGTAGTTGCACGTACTCGCATAAAAAGACTAAGGTCGGCAACTCCTGCATGTATTTCACGAGATAGTAACTTCGAGATTAAAGTTGAATTCAAAGTATGATTCTTTGGGTCCCATGTGTGAAACATTTGTGATAAATCTTGTGTAAAATTTGACGTGGTTTGAGTTTTAACAAAAAGTACTGGCGTATTAAGTGCGGCTGAAATACTGGCACAGTGAAAATCTGTAGTTATAACTAACTTGGCTCCAGCGATTTTCTTGAGGAAAACATATATTGATTTAAACAAACTACGTAGACTAAACCCAGTCTTCTTGCCAAGAGTTAAACGCAGCGCGTGGTCTAGAATCTCGCTTGGAAGTTGGTTTACAATACTTGAATTTAAATTCACGATGTAGACATCTTTTCCTACAGTGCCAAAAGTGAATGGGGACTTCATTAAGAGACTAATTCCACCAGATAAATAAGCTTCGATATTATGAGATCTGAGGTATTTCACTGTGTTCATATCAAGACAGCCAATCGGCGCGTTTTTGCGCAAAGACGCGATATATTCTGATAAATAATCTTTCTTTTGGCTAAAGCTTTCTGCAAGGTATGGCAAAATATCCGCATTCATGTCGCGCGATAGGGTGCTGTTCCTTGCACTAGTGAGGATGCCATTACTACTTATAAATAATCTCTGCACGTAAGGATAGAATTGGAAAATCGCCATGTTTTCGATTCCTACTGAAAGAGATTTTGTATTAAACTTCTCAATTGTTAAATCATAGTGTTTAGTGTAAACTTCACCATTCATGTTTTGTGACACTATCTCAACGGTGTCTGGACAAATTCGACTGTTTTTGCTACAAAAATCCATGTACGCATTCCATGACTGATTGTTGAAATTGGAGACAAGTTCATGGCAATTTGCTTTTAAATAGCACAATCGATAGTACAGTTTCACGAATAGATTTGCAAGTGTTTTCACAAGCGGGTGATGTTTTTGAAACCGACTTGCATGTAGTATTCCCGATAAATTACCATTGGCAATTTTTGTAACCCAGGAGTTACGATTGCTTGCAAGTTCCCGGAACGATGCTTCATGAATTCGTAGAAAAGGATCCACAAACGTTCCACCGTTGTGCCATAGAAGTGCCAGCTTCGTTGCTTCGTGTAAATGTGCTTCAAAATTATTTCCAGAAAGAAGTTTGTGCAGCGAATGAGCTTTAAACCATTTTTCTACAGGGGAATTTTGTACAAAATCATTGAATGTCATAAAACTCGTTGAAAATTGATGATTGTTAAAATCCCTCACTTTCCTTGTACAAGAAAACGTTCCACAGAATACGTGCAATCTATCCTTAGACGCCTTTTGATAAATTTCTTCCATATTTAGTAAAATAGCTCGGTTTGGGGGTTTATTATACACCCAAAATGTATGAACTACCGTAGGTAGGCGTTGTCTTATTTCCGTATCTGTGTTAAATTTAACATTCCATAAAAGATTTCCTCCAAATATAAGATGTAGAATTAGAAAACAGGTCATTACAAATCTTCTCAGCTCGTATGCATTTGAGCTTGTATACTTTTGGTAATAAAGTATATGCCCCGCTAGAAACAGCAATATTCCGATAGCCATGAGCCCAGAAATGGAAAGAGATAGATAAATAACTGTTAGTATCTCGATTGAATACTGTATCAATGTGTGAAGCACTGCATGGAATATGGGAGAGAATGTTTCGAGAATAAAAACAGAAATTAAGTTATCTACAACATGAAATGATATTGACTCTAAAGCCATTACAGGGTTCATCAAAGGCACTATCCTTGTATATGCAAGTTTAATCAATACAACAGGTAACAGGACAATGAAACTGCAGCTTGAAATCAGCAAATATTTTTCCACTGGATCTTTCCAATTATCCCCAAACGATTTCAAATATACGTTTCTTAAAGGGAACATAACAAGTGATAAGCCGGCTGCTATGGTTCCCCATCGAGTAAATACCAAATTCTGGTGCCTTAAAAACATATGCAATCCTGTGCTCATAAGAAGTATGCCAAAACTAACATATATATTGTTTCTTACAAAATAGCCACGATTGCAGGTCCATAGAATGTATACCGTTACCAGTCCAAAGCTTTGAAAAAGATTTTGAACATAAACAGTATGCATTGAAATAGCGGCATTTAAAGAAAGGGTTCCAGTTAGATGCCCCAAAACTACAACTGTCATGATTTTCTTGTTAAATGCAGGAAAAATCAACGGTTTCCTCTTGATAAGTTTCAGTATGAGAACTGCCATGACGGCACCAGCGAAACATTGCAACATTGTGGTTTCCACAAATCGCAGATATTTCCTGAATATTGCCAAGTTCGCTGAGCGAGGCTGTTGTTGAAATAGGTAGATGTTTTGGAAATAATAACACACACTACATAGCCACCATGCTATGATAAGCAACTTTAACCATACAGTTGACATATTCTGGAATACAAAGGATGATTAATAAATTATATAATATTTTATAAGGTATGGAAGCTAGGTCAATCAACTATTCAACTGTAGCCTGTATGGCAGACGTCAGCCCACAGAGGAACACCTAAAAATGGGCAAGGCTTTCCCTACGGTATATTGAAGGCCGATGCCTAAAATCCTTACTTATATTAAAAATGCTGAAAATTAAGCACTATCGATTGTGGATGGATGACTCCTAAATATACTTCTGGGTCAGATAATTATCAACATTTTCACAAAATGTATGCTTTTTAAAATGTCAAATCGACAAAACACTCGTTATAAGTGACTCTCTGTATACTTGTGAAAAAGTTGATAATATCACCCCTAACCCTTATCAGCAGTGTATATGTGAACTATTTATAGACCGTGCATTATTCTACAGACTATATTTTTTACACATATGACATATATATACAGTCTATATATATAGTAGTATAAAATATAGCAGATATTTAAAATATAACAATCAGCGATCTTACTTGGTATTGAAATTATCAATTTGTTTTTTAATACACAAACGTTCAAAAATTTCTTTATGATACACTAACTATCAATATTTAATCTTACACGAAGTCTAACATGTCACCTGGTGCAGATGGAAATTTTAATAAGAATAATTTCGTTCTTAATTTAAATTTAAAGTATTATTTAGCCATCATTAGGAAACTTTGACTGCTGATTATATGATTATATAAAAATATAACGAAAATATGTAATGTACAACGCAAGTATTATGAGTAAATCTATCAACAAAATGTTAAAATGTTCATGGAAAAATGAATAAGGAAATATGACGTGGAAACACAGCCGGCGACGAAATGGAACAAAAGAAAGAAAGACAGGATGAATGAAATGTTTTTGAAAGTGAAATTGAAATAAAGAAACAAAAATGAAAGTTTGTTCTGGTTTACAGCTTACATTGGCAATTCTAAAACCAGATTTAATGACAAATCCAGTCCGTTTACAGGTATGCAATTAACTCTGTGTTTAAAATGACATAATATTGATTTATAAATTGCTACATTATGTACTGAACGAAAATGCACATATATTGCAGAATGTTAAAGAGAGAATTTTGAAAGAAAAATTTTGGATAATTAGATGGAAGATTTTGCAATGGCAAAGAAAAGATGCAGAACTTTTTTATCAAGAGCACAGAGGTTTGTCAAAATCATGGGACATGTGTTAATTATTAACTTGATCTCAGGGGCAGATTATCATTTCGGTTGTTATGTATCAGTCAATTCCAGCAGTGCCCATCCCCACACAGACTATTACCCAATTGATGGGAATCCGAGATACCTAGTACCTACAGTATTATCAGTATATGATTTTAACGTCCCTATCGAAGAAGACACGAAAGTCTAGCCATTTACTGATGTCAATGTAAAGATAGCTCTTTCTCCTCAATTATTTTAAGACCTTGAGTAGAGGTCCGACCAAGGATTGAACCCGGCTCTCCCAGGTTGAAAGGCAAGCGTGGTGATCACCATGACACCACAAGAGCTATATTGCATAGGATGGTTGTTTATTACTTTTTATTTGCTTATAATTGTAGGTAAATTTTTCTTCCAGCGTTTGACATCTTTTATGAGCAGGTAATAGCACATTGTACACTTTTCTTTTGATTGTGTTTTGGCTGAAATAAACGTGTTGTAATTTATTTCCATGATTTTGAATGTTGATTATAAAGTGGTCCAATAATGGCAATGATACTTGCAAGAGAAGATGCAATCAGCCACTGGAGAGACGTGATGGGTCCAACAAAAACAACTAAGTATGAATCAAAGCTTATTTCAATCATACAAAAAAATACAATTGGAAATCCAACTGGGGGATTACAAGTGGGGGGTGTACCCCCCCCCCCCACCTTAGCCACTCATTATCAAATCCATTTTTTGGAAAGGCAGAATATCCTGTCGCCATTACCACAATAGTCTTACAGGTGCAATGTTTCACCCATTCTACAGAACACTGCTTAGGCTAAACACTGCTGTGTGTAGCTCCAAATATTTATGAACTTGGTCAACTGTCCCACCCCAAACCATGACCATGAGTTGATGAACACCTTCCCCCTCCTACCATATCTGACTGGGTACATCCCTGCATTTTCACTATGTAAATGATGGCATTTATATTTATGTATGCACAAAAAACTGAACAATGTCTGACCCTCCCCCTCCCCATGGACCACCCCTTCTGTGATGATGCAACCTGCCTTGTTTGATCACATGGAAATGGCAACGCAGATGTAACAGTGTAAAAAGGTGCACCTCCATTGGTCCTTGTTTTCATATTATTTAGACTACGTTTACGCTGTACCGAATAGCTTTGCGTAGCGACGTAAAAAAACACGTATCCGTACCTTTCAGGAACGCTATTTTCAGAGGAATTATTGCAACGGAGAGATGTTGTTTCACTCAGCTTCTGAAAGTTGTACATTCCGTATGGGATAGGTGCTTTTTTCACACCGCAACGGAAATCTATCCGGTATAGTGGTCAGTGTACAGTAAACGCAGCCTGAGACTCTATCTATATAACCACTTGTAGAGCAAAGCTATCCCACCCTTACAGCATTCGTGGTATGCATGGTCTAACTGATACAAGAAATGCCACTCATGGCTCAGGTAGGGTTTTCTTAAGGCGTATTTACAATACACAACTTTTGTCTAAAACTGTCGCATGCAACCTGCTTACAACTTGAGTTGTACTGTCTGTGTAAATCAAACACACATCTCACCTAAGTTGTAGTAGGTGAGTTGTGTGCTTGATTTACTTAGTACAAGTCAAGTTATAAGCACGTTTTATGTGACAGTTTTAGGCAAAACTTGTGTAGTATAAATTGGCCTTAAATTCATACATATTTGCATGCATTTGCAGACTCATGAAGTTAGGTTTTTCTAGTCGACCAGTTACCGGCGTAATTCACGTTTAAAACTTTGTAGATTCCGTTGAAAACGCTGAGAAGGAAACGACGTTCTTCTTTCCAGACTTCAGTTCAACTCATTGGATGAGAAATCATGGCGACGACTTTAAAAATGGAAACGTTGTTTTTGATGAAGAACTAGAAATTCACAATTTATTGATACCAGCTAAATCAGTGAAAAAGTAAAGGGTGGAGGGCCCATGAGCATTCTTGTGAAATATAAATTTTCACTTCAACTAAGAGCAATGTAAACAAGCTTTCGTTGGGAGGATGCAGCGTTGGTAGAGATACAGGCAGCGAAATTCGACGTTTCGAGCGAGCCATGGGAAGTAAAAGAAGGGCCTTCGCTCGAAATGTCGAATTTCGCTTTGCATTTTCAGGTAGTTGCATCTATATCAACGAAAGCTTGTTATTATTGGAACTACAGACCGTTTAAAAGTAAAGTAGCCTTTGTGGGAATCGAGCTGGAGTTTAGATGAGCTAAGACTTACGCAGATCAGGAAATATTGGGTGGAAACAAAGCAAGGTAAAAATGGAGGAAGATATAGAAGAGGTTACAAGAACTTTAGATGGAAAATCGTGAGGAAAAAACTGCAGAGAATATAGTAAGTATTATAGTTATTTAATTAAAAAAATCAAGATATGCAAATAATTTTATACACTGCAGTATACAATGCTTTTATTGAAAAACAAATCAGTAACTTATCTGCAAAATCTATTCATGCTTATATAGCTTACATTTTTGTATAGCATAACTTAGTCAACGTACAAACTATTTTGATAATGTCAAACGACAGTCTATACACTCTGAGAGCAGAACCTGATTTCCCTTATTTTCTACGCGACGGGAAATCAGGCTCAGCTCCCAGCGTGCAATCTATGTTACAGGGTATTAACCCACTTTAAATTCAAGATATATATTATATATAATCTACACACTCGCTTCTACAACATGTATTTCTATAACGACGGTCAGGGGTGGAAAACTGATATTCTATTTTCTGGGAGCACCAGTTTCCCGCGAAGTGTCGACAATTCATTGCTGTTTAGTTTGTGTGATCACAGTAGGAATTCTGCATAGTCAAATGTCCTCAAACATTTCTTACAAATCCTTCGAAACTTAGAATTTACCAATGCAAAATTCCTACTGTGATCACAGAAATTTTGATAGTTTAACCCCAGCCTTAACTTAACTGCAGTGTTAGTATTACTGTAACAAAGAGAAGAATTCGTTGCTATATTTCGGTGGATCAGCCAAACCAAAACTACCGCTATTTTTTCTACCCCTGACCACCTGACATCAGTCGCTTCTATTTTATAACCATATTAAAAAGTTCTGCTTTAAGCTAGTAGAACACGTAACTTTTATAAAAAACGTAACACACACTGTAACATAATAATGTTTCTTTTCTGAGCAAGCCGCTCATTCGACCAGTGGGGAATTGGACGTCTTCTTTGCCCAAGCGCTTCTCTGGTGAGAGCGTTGTTTCTTGGCTGTTTTTGCCACATCTCTGCGCCCTACTTGGGTATAACTCTCTTCGCATGGCTAGAAACAAGAAACGTCCGTTCTTAAGGTTTCCGTGCTCAGAAACATGTGGTGTTTAGGCCATGTCTATGCATTCAGGAAAATTTTCCGCAGAAAGAAAATTTTGTAAAATGTGATTGGCAGACACAAATTTTCCGTCGGAAACAATGTTGCAACTTTTCAACTTTTAACAATGATATTTTCGGACATCATCTTCTCTTTGGCGTACCATCTAAAATCTCTTCATTTTAGCATTATTTGTAAAATAAAGCACTGAACATACTTTTAAAGTTTTGTTTGCCGATTGAGAAACGTATCGAAAACTATAAATTTTGAATGAACCGCGCAAGTGGCATGTTATAGTTCATTAGTTTTGAGCGCGTGTTCCGTAACATACAAAAACATTCTTCTCTTAAACATACCTCTTCAATAGAGACCATCTCATTGACTTGGCCTGAGTGATCCCTGTGGAGTGGCATCACGTTATTGTTGGTGCCAACCTGCACTGGAGAAACGCGAGCACGCTTCAGACTCCTGCTTGTTTGAAGTTTTCTGATTAACCAACATGAGCCGACCATGAGAAGGATCTGGTATGAAGAAAGAATTTTAGATCACTCCCTAAATTTTCTCGCCAATATTCTTCTATACATGTTTATAGAATTGTCTTCATGAATTATTAATGAGTTTACAATATTTCCTACCAAGAGTAACATGACACCAGCCCCACCCGATGCGAGTATTATTTGATGATCTTCAAACCACTCGATCAGCTTGGAAAGACAGTCCTGGAAAAGCAAATAGAAATTGATGTTAATAAACTAATGTGTCGTCGGAAGCAGTGAACCACTTGCGTAATAGACTAAATTTTGATCTAAACAAGTCTAGACAAATATTTCATCACAGCTTGAAAGAGCATCACAAAATTAGTAAATTTGGGGCTGTCAATTTCCCGTTTGTAATCTAAAATGACTGAAAATTGCAAACTTCGCAAGGCTAAATTATCCGCATTTTACAACGAAACTTTGGAATATTACTAATTTTGTGATGCTCTTTCAAGCTGTGATGAAATTTTTGTTTAGATCAAAATTTAGTCTATTACGCAAATAGTCAATTGGTTGTTGGGAGGCTCAACCAAGAGGGTCTGGGGGCATGATGCTCTCCCAGGAAAAGATTGCGTTTCCTTGTTTTCTGAGAGGAAATTTTATCATCGTTGCATTTAAACATTCAAGATTTTATAATGCACTTCATAACTTCTTACAATTCCATCCTCCTTGTTTTGAAACAGCGTTTGCTCTGTACGCAAATTTGTTCCCACTGATGTATATACAATATGTATATACAATGTAACAACAATTTCAAACTGTTACCGATTAGTTGATAATATATTTTGTGTCAATGCATAGGCCACATGCAGTAAGACCTTTTTAAATGTGTTTATTACATCGACAAACGACGTTTCAAAGATTTACTGGCTATCTTCACTTCTTCAGGTAGATAAGATTACAATTTAAATTGTAATGAGGCTTAGAAAAGTTCGTTCTTAAACATTTTGATAAGTTGGTTGTATTTTGCAAGAAAGAAATAAAGTATAAAAAGAAATACAATTTTCATGGATGCGGAAATTAGTGTGGCGGGGGAGCCCCCTTCCCCCCCCCCCCCGAATCTAGGAGAAAGACCGTGAGTTACCTGCTTTACTTCGTGTTTGGTTGTGGCATTGACAAAACATGAGTCGTGTGCATACGATTTAGTTCCAGTATTGTTCATACCAATATCACAGCAGTCAAACTGGAAAGATACAAAATTTTACCAAGTCGTATTAAGGCCCGTTTGTACTTGCAATTTCTGCTGCGATTTTCTTCTTCTGAGCGATGTGAACGAGTGGATAAGTTATGAATGTTGAGATGAGGGTACACATACTCAGAACATTCATAACTCATCTGCTCGTTCACATCCATCAGGAGAAGAAAATCGCAGTAGGAATCGCAGCGAAACTTGCAAGTGTATAAACGGGCCTTTAGTTAAACCATAAGGCGATCAAGAAGAAAATCCCCTGGAAAATCCCCTCCTTAAATCTCGTCTCGAAATGTCTATGGATGGTGAAACCATTAAGTCTGACACCAGATGATTTCACTCGGCTATAGGGAAAGTGCTGTGGGTTATTGGATTACCAGACTATCTATCCATGTCAGTCTAGCCTGTGTCCCCAGGTGATGTGGACTGGGACACATGCTATGCCAGTCTTGTTTAACCGTTAAGCCACAATGCACTCTTTGACGTCAATGACGTCATAGAGTGCATTGTGGCTTAACGGTTAAACAAGACTGGCATAGCATGTTCAAGACTGGCATAGCATATTCTCTTACTCCTGATTGAGCTGAAAGTCAGGAATTTTCAGCATTTGAAGATTTATTAATCTTCAAATGCTGAAAATTCCTGACTTTCAGCTCAATCAGGAGTAAGAGAATTCGAAAATCATAAATTACATGAATTACCTTTTTCTGAATAAAAATTCTTGTGTCGTCATTCGTATTGTTCCAGCTTTTACGTATTATCTTATCCATCTAATATAACGGGAAAATTGTAGAATTTTATGACTATTTTGTATGTCAATAATCCCAAGGTGCAACTCAAAGATTGTAAAGATGTTTTACCTTCCCTCAATAAAGTATGAAATGAGTTGAGTTGACATAAATGGTAAGATCTTACCCTGGCTCTCTCGACCATACCAAAGACCACCAGTCCAAACAAGGTACAGAACACCAAACATACGATGAAGAAATACTAAAATTTGTCAATTTAAAAATTTCATAAACGCAAAAATTGTGTGAATACTAACTAACAGACTAAATGTAGTAAAATGTCTCCCCATATATGACAGCATAATCATTCTTACACTCTGCAGCAAAATTTTATTCCCCAACAGGGCACCACATGTTCCGAGAATCCCTAAAGAAAAATATGAGCAGAATTGTCAGATACTTGGTTATTCAATCTATATCATTGTTTTGTGAAAGAGCTTGCAATCCTCATCAAATTGATATTTCACGCCATAGTGTTGAGTTACTGAAACTCACCCGCTGTGAATAGTACCGCAGCCAATGCGATATACGTAATGAAAATATTCTAACAGAAAAAAAAATTTCATCAAACAAAGTGATGACATCAAACAAGAGAAGCTCATGCATGTTCAAAGCATTTAAATATACAGAGGATATTACACGGGGCGCGAAGCTATGACTTTTATCTTCGAGTGGTGAAAACAATATTTTACGAACGAGCGCAGCGAGTGAGTAAAATATTGTTTTTAACACGAGAAGATAAAAGTCCTATCTTCAAGCCACCGTGTAATGCTCTGTTTATTATATAGTCCCAATTGTGAAATTTCACGCTAGTGAAGATATGGAAAATATCTCACTGTAATAAACGGTTTTCTTTATTTTATTCTATATACTGTGAATTTGGTGGAAGCCTATCAAACATTTCTTTATAAAACATAAAATTTAGTGTTGTCATAAATATTACCTGGTTTTCAATGAAATGTTTATAGTCGTTTTCCGACGATACAATCCATATTGCAAAACCAATCAGGGCTCCACCACCAATCTGAGACAAAAGACGTAAACATGCATAAGGACTTGCTTGGACTAAAGTAAAGCTTCAAAGCTAGATTGGCGCTCGCACTCGTTTAAAATTTAATCTGTTGATTTAGTTTATGTATTTCTGCACGTCTAGTACGTCTGTCTATCTCAAAACTTCAGAGAAGAAAACTCCTACCGATTCAGACGAGATTTCTAAAGAAATATTTCCAAATTTACTGTTGAGAAGTTTGCTTTGAATTTTAGCCAGGCTTTCTTGCCATCCTATTTTTCCTACTTTTCTTCAACTTTCCTACTTTTCCTATTTTTTATTAAAAATTGCTTGATTTTCCTACTTTTTCTCATAAAATCCTACTTTTTTAAGACCGCTTGGGGAATCGGTATGTTACAGCTCTCGTAATTAGATCTATAGGACTCGTAATTTTTATTCCTTATTTGTGTCCCAGATGATAACATCTCAGGAAGAGAAGAAGTACATTTTCCGAGTATAAAATTCCATAGCATCTCTAGAATCATAATCAATAAATTAATGAAGATCTAGAGATTCCATTCATAGATGAATGAGTACAAAAAATATAGTGAGCACCAAAAATTCACACAACTTCCCCATCGGATATCTAAACTTTTGTCCACCCCTTACCCCATATATCCTAGGTGGCCAATTTTGTATATTTTTGTGTTATTTGCATCTCAAAAACTCCTACTTTTCTACACCTACTTTATTCCTACTTTTCTTAAAATTCTAGTCCTACTTTTATCCTACTTTTCTACCCAAGGATGCCAGAAAGCCTGATTTTAGGTTAACCTTGCATGGGTTAAGCTAACCCAGCTTTGAATAACTGGCCCCTAAAAAATACAAGTAACTACATTTCAAGCGAAATTCTTCGTCGCGAAGTTCGTAGTGTCATAATGTTGTCATAATGTTTCTTCAAAGGGACAGACAGAGAAGATTGACAGAAAAAGGAAAATGTTCCGCATTCCAGCGAGCTTTGCCGCGCACGTCGGCCAAGTGATGACGCGTGTGCCTGTGTCGTTTAAATACCACACAGCCACTCGATGTGTTTATATGACTTATAGTTACTACGGAAACGAGATACCTTTAGCTATAAACTCTGTCGTATAAATACTAAACGTACTGTCTTTTTATCTATAGTTTCTATGAAACAAGTAAATGATTGAGTTTATTTAACTACTCAACGCTTACTCGAGTAAGTGATTTCAGCCAGATTGAATATATTTGACCTTATTCGTCAGAAAGTTAGTGCGGTTGAGTAAACTAACTCAAAGTCACATTTGTGGTAGTGATATAAACAGATAACTCCATTAGTTCTAATCTATTTCTCCAAAAAGAGGATTTGATTTCACATGAAATTTTCACATACGAAATTCCAATTCACATGTGAAATTTTCACAAGGGCATCCCCTATAGCTAATATTGGTTCAGCATTACTACAGAAGGAAACCTAAACTAAACTAACTTTATTTATACTGGATAGCTCTATCAGTTCTAAACTGTTCTCCCTAGACGTCCAGTAAGAATCATCTCTTAATGACCCAGTGTTACTACAGAAGGCAACGTAAACTAAACTAAACTAACTTCATTTATTCTGGATAGCTCTATCAGTTCTAAACTGTTCTCCCTAGAGGTCCAGTAGGATCATCTCTTAATGATACAGTGTTACTACAGGAGGAAACTTAACTAACTTTATTTTTCTGGACAGCTCGACTATCAGTTTTAAAATGTTCTCCCTGGAGGCCCAATATAAGGATCATTTCTTATTGATAACTTTATTTATAGTTCTAAACTGTTCCTCCTAGAGGTCCAATATTTTCGAGATATGTTTTATTGTATTTCTTTTTCAAATTGTCGGCTGGAAAGGATTATGGTAAACCAGAAACACTGTACTGAAATTGTACAATAAAGATATGGAAGCCTGACCGCAGAGATGAAAGACAAATGTTCTAAAAGTGCAATGAGGTTTTCGCCAAATAGAAATGCGTCAAAATTCTGTTAATGAAGTGAGTGTCCCTATATGTCGTGTGTCGTGTGTCGTGGGTTAAAAGTCGTGTGTCGTGGGTAAAGTCGTGGGTAAAGTCGTGGGTAAAGTCGTGGGTCATAAAATGTGCTAAAAACGCATTTTTTCACGAAGATATTATTTTTATTTTTAACATTTTTTTCGTACTTTTTCCATTTATGCATTAGATAAATACAGGAAAATTTAACGCAACAAATCTCCAGTAATAAAATAATTTCTTATCTTGCTGTTATCTATAGTATAACAAGTAAATGTTTGATTTTATTTCCGTTTCGTATAATCTAATAAGCCTATAGAGTATAAATGTATTGTTTGATAATAAAATGTCTTAAGTTATATAGGATATAGGTTTATCAGCTAGCTTTGGAAGTGTTATAGTCCCTATCATGAACGTCGCGAATAACTATGTCGATTGCATATGTCTGATACAAACATATTGAACCGTATAAATTTTACGCTGCAGTGCCTGTATAATTAGTGGCCAACGCTTGAGCCTCAAATTTTGCTATTTTATCTCCTAGACCTAGTATATGTTCGTGGCCCTTAAAGGTAGACAAATATTTCATGTGTATGTGGCGTTCGGAAATATTCCATAAATTTCTACGATTTGGGATTTCCCGATTGAAAACCGAAATGATTTGTGCGATGTCGGGCTAATTGCCAACCGAGCGCGCTAGCCGCTGTTATTTCGACAGAATATGATACCTCTACACTTTTCAGCCGTAATTTTCAGCGCGCATTATAATCATATACATATCGTTTAATTTAGCTTCAAAAACTTGATAAAAACATATTGATAAAAACATATATCGTGTTGGTTCCCGCGGAGCGCAATGGTATCATACGGTTGCCAGAGGCAGAGCACATGCAAAGCCGCCTCGGTATAAATCATGTATGTAACGGGAAATCTTGCTTATTTCAGTCCTAATGAAGTCAACCTTTTTTCTTTGATATTAATGTACGCAACATGCTGCGCATTTTACATTTAACAAAATAAGTTTTTGAAGCTAAATTAAACGATATATATATATGCATGATTACACTGATCCGCGCATTACTGTATTACGGCTGAAAAGTGTAGAGGTATCATATTCTGTCGAAATAACAACGGCTAGCGCGCTCAGTTGGCAAATAGCCCGACATGGCGACATCGCACAAATCATTTCGGTTTTCAATCGCGAAATCCCAAATCGTAGCAATTTATGGAATATTTCCGAACGCCACATACACATGAAATGTTTGTCTACTTTTAAGGGCCACGAACATATACTAGGTCTGGGAGATAAAATAGCAAAATTCAGTGAGGCTCGAGCGTTGGCCACGTAGAATTTATAGCTCAATATGTTTGCATCAGACATATGCAATCGACATAGTCAATTCGCGACGTTCATGATAGGGACTATAACACTTCCAAAGCTAATAAACCTATATCCTAATGTCCTATAACTTAGGACAAACAATACATTTATAGACTTATTATAAGACTATACGAAACGGAAACATTTACTTGTTATAGGCCTACTATAGATAACAGCAAGATAAGAAATTGTTTTATTAGTGGAGATTTGTTGCGTTAAATTTTCCTGTATTTATCTAGCGCATAAAAGGCAAAAGTACGATAAAATATTAAAAATAAAAATATGAAAAAATGCGTTTTTAGCACATTTTATGACCCACGACTTTACCCACGACTTTACCCACGACTTTACCCACGACACACGACTTTTAACCCACGACACACGACACACGACATATAGGGACACTCTAATGAAGTTGTTGCAGCTGTTTAAATCAAATAAAATATTGGCATTGCACGCAGCTGTTATAAACATTGGCTAACAACAGGCAAATCGCAACCATTTGCGCTAGCATTTTCGGCAGCCGGCTAGTTTGTGTCTAAAGTTCTAAACTATACCTGAGAAAGATATCTCAGACGTGGTTTGTCCAGTGTAGGTAGTATTCTTCAATAAGCTGCCGTGGCTTGTGTCTGAACTACCTGAATAAGATATCTCAAACGTCCACAATATTCAATAAACTGCTGTGACTATCTGAACATATTCTACTTCACATCTTGTGTACAAACTATACTTATCAATACATATACAGTCTTGTTAAAGTCCGGTCAAATTATACGCACAATTTTCCCACTTGTTCACATTCGCGTACTCTTAAAGCCGTGCTCAAAAACCTTCCCGTTTCATGCGCACGAGTCGTGTATGAACTCCCAAACGGAAAGGGAAAATCTTATAAATTTGAGCCGGATTCATCAGGTCTGTAAATTTTAATAACTCGAGGCATGAGCTTTTTAAATTTGTATACACAAGGTCATGTACGTTGTCTTTATAAGACAACGGTTTCAACACGGAACGCACATACACACTTACCCACGTTATAACATTTATGATAAAAAACGGAACTTTGAAGCAATTTACTCCCGAGCGACCACCAGCAGACGCTTCGTTTTCAGAATTCATTTTTTAACCGCTTGTATAACCCTCTTTCTGTATTCTGCAATTGCGTTTTCCCGTAAGAATACTATTGACTGTTCTTTGGACACCTTTTGGAAAGGTACACGCGTTTGAGAAGGACGAAAATGTACGGTTTTTAATACTCCAGCGAGGAAATTAGCGTACGTACATGAAATAATGCAATACGCAAAGCAAATGAAATACGATATCTCATACACTTTGGACAGTTTAACAATAGACAGATTGTATCACTTTGCATTAAAATGACAGACACAAGCTTTAATTAATCCGAATTTTAAATACCCTCAAGGGCTGAATTCCGTGCATCAAAACATCTCGGGGAAAAGCTGGACACTTCATGGCCGAGCGTCCCTACAGAAATATTTTTATTTGGATGAAATATATGTTATAATGTACAAGTATAACTGTACTCATTTGCATCAGGAAATAATATTAATGTTGACATTCGTTTGAAGTTCCGTCAACACTCATCTGAAAACCCTAGGTTTTCTCCGAATGACTTCTTCCGTTTCCAAACAAGGAATTTGAACAGGATGGGGTTCACGACCTCTGGTTCAAGACAGTTCCATGTTGGAATCCGTGGGTGTTATGCGGGATATTTCCGATAAATTTACGCAATTGACGTGAATCTTACTAATAAAATAAAAATCTTTTGTGTGATATTGTGAAGATTTTTGAATATTGAAAGATTGATATTTGAAATAAGTATCAACTACAATGACAAAACTTTATAACTTTCTTGTGTGTCCTATGACCGGCGTACTGGTGTAAGCAGTCAGTGGCTTACTAACACAACCCCCGGCTTAAAATTTTCACGGATTTCAACCTGGTTCAGCATTGGCTACATACAGTAAAATATACATGTCGTCATCGAGACATTAAATATTTGATATATTTCATCACGTAAGTGTGCTGGAAAATCTCCGGTAGCACCAGGGGCGTAGGAACCGGGGGGACGGGGTGGCACGTGCCCCGCCCCCCCCCTTTTTCAAAGGACAAAAAGTGCCCTTTTTTGTGATGAAAAGTGCCCTTTTTGTACAAGCTAATGTCGCTGTAAATACTAAATTAACATCTAAGTTGCCCTTTATGTTTTTAAAATATTTGGTTAAAAAACGGGCAATTTCGGTCCCTTTATGTTTTTAAAATATTTGGTTAAAAAACGGGCAATTTCGGTATAGTATGACGGGAAAATTTTTCTCCCCCCCCCCGGTCAACATTTCCGGGAAAAATTTTTTAGGTGCCCTTTTCAATATCCAAAAGTGCCCCTGGAAGCGGTGCCCCCCCCCCAATCTTTTGATGCTTCCTGCGCCCCTGGGTAGCACTGCTGCCAGGAAGTGTTTAACAAAATATATTCGCAGGAAATGTTCTTGTATCTTGCAGGACGTTTTTGTCATCTTATGTACAAGAATAGAATGCCATATAATACTACATTCTCAAGTACACACTACCAAAGCAGTGTCGACGTTCTGAGTTTTGAAGTTCTCTTCATATTTGGAGAAGATCTCTCTTACTTCAGGTTTTAAAGCTAAATCCGAAGCCGTTAGTTTATTAATGTCCGTTAATGTGACGTCACATTCATGGTGGGATATGAGCCCAGATACAGTCGATGCTTGACCAGCAGCAGATGCCAGATGGAGGGCTGAAATGAGGGAACGATCTGACATTAGGGGCGAAACTAAACTACTGAACTGGGTAGCTCTATAAGTTCTAAACTGTTCTTCCTAGAGGTCCAGTAAAAGTTATCTCTTAGTGACCCAGTGTTACTACAGGAGGAAACCTAAACTAAACTAACTTTATTTATACTGGATAACTCTACCAGTTTTAAACTGTTCTTTCTGGAGGTCCAGTAAGGATCATCTCTTATTGATCCAGTGTTACTACAGGAGGAGACCTAAACTAAACTTTATTTATAATAGACAGCTCTATCAGTTATAAACTGTTCTCCCTAGAGATCCAGTAAGGATCATCTCTTATTGATCCAGTGTTACTACAGGAGGAAACCTAAACTAACTTGATTTGTGGTTCTAGCACTAACAGTGATATATCCACATTCACCTGTTCTTCCGTTGTTGTCCTGGCGGTTTATTTCACTTCCAGCTTCCAACAAGAACGTCACAGCTTCATCATGTCCTTCCTATACAAGTAGAAAAGTAAAATAATTGTTTGCAGATTCATTTTTTTTCCATTCAGTTTTTTTCACTCGTTTCGTTTTTTTTCATTTTGCGAGAAATGCAACCATAAGCCCTCTGGTAGGAATCAAACCTGTGACCCTGCGATTCCGGTCAGCGTTCTAACCAACTGAGCTACAGAGAGACAGTTGTGGAGCTCTAACCAACTGAGCTACAGAGAGACAGTTGTCGAGCTCTAACCAACTGAGCTACAGAGAGACAGTTGTCGAGCTCTAACCAACTGAGCTACAGAGAGACAGTTGTCGAGCTCTAACCAACTGAGCTACAGAGAGACAGTTGTCGAGCTCTAACCAACTGAGCTACAGAGAGACAGTTGTGGAGCTCTAACCAACTGAGCTACAGAGGGCAGTTGTCAAGCTCTAACCAACTGAGCTACAGAGGACAGTTGTCAAGCTCTAACCAACTGAGCTACAGAGAGACAGTTGTCGAGCTCTAACCAACTGAGCTACAGAGAGACAGTTGTCGAACTCTAACCAACTGAGCTACAGAGAGACAGTTGTCAAGCTCTAACCAACTGAGCTACAACTGTTGTCGAGCTCTAACCAACTGAGCTACAGAGAGACAGTTGTCGAGCTCTAACCAACTGAGCTACAGAGAGACAGTTGTCGAGCTCTAACCAACTGAGCTACAGAGTCAAGTTGTGGAGCTCTAACCAACTGAGCTACAGAGTCCAGTTGTCGAGCTCTAACCAACTGAGCTACAGAGTCCAGTTGTCGAGCTCTAACCAACTGAGCTACAGAGTCCAGTTGTGGAGCTCTAACCAACTGAGCTACAGAGAGACAGTTGTGGAGCTCTAACCAACTGAGCTACAGAGAGACAGTTGTGGAGCTCTAACCAACTGAGCTACAGAGAGACAGTTGTCGAGCTCTAACCAACTGAGCTACAGAGAGACAGTTGTCGAGCTCTAACCAACTGAGCTACAGAGTCCAGTTGTGGAGCTCTAAGTTCTAACCCTGACAAATTCATGTATATTACGCACATCATTTTATGCCTACCTTTGCCGCGATATGTAAAGCACTCATTCCTGAATAATCTACAGCATTCCGAACATCAATCTTCATTTTCTCTTGCAGGAACTTGAGGGATAACAAGGAAGCAGATTGGGCTGCAATGTGTATACATTGTCGTCCTAGTTTATCCTTTGCTTCTGGTCTTGCGTGGTGCTTAATATGTAAAATATTTCATTGTGTTAGGTGACTAGTAAAGTCTATGGTCAGCTACACACGTAAACACGCACAAGTTGTTACAGGTCTACAAACAAGTTGTTATAAATCTGTTCACAAGCTGTCGACAAGTTGTGTTCGCACTGCTTGTTCCCAGTTGTTGTAACAAGTTTGGGAGAAGCTGTTAACAACTTGTAACAAGCTTGATGGCATTATCAGACTTGTTACAAGGTTGTTTTAACAAATCTGATACAGTCATGATATATAACAAGAATGTTACAAGGTTGACGACACAAGGTTGTAACAATATTGTTATATCATGACTGCATTGGACTTGTTGGAACAACCTTGCAATAATATCAAAACGATTGTTGCAACTGTTAACAAGTTGTTCCATATTGGGACAAGCAGTGCGAACACAACTTGTTGACGGCTTGTTGGCAGACTTGCTACAAGATATAAGATCTTTGTTTTGTGTATGATACAAAAATACTCAGTTGGTTTACAGGAAATTTTATCTCCTGGTTGTGCTCCCAGGAAGAAAATGATTTTCTTCCGCCGTGAAGGTGGTGTCTCTACATTTATCATTTACCTTAGTAATAAGAAGTGACGCCACATCAACGTAATTGCCTCGGAAACTGTCCATAAGTGGTGTAGTACCACATGAATCTGCAAAGTCTGATGTATACCTGCCACTAGCAAATTAATCAGGAAGACGTTTACATTTTTAGTCGCGAAATAACACGAGTACGTTATCGAAACAGCATCATGCTTCAGGCATGTTTCATATGTTGCACTATCGTCGAATTTATTTGAACAAATTAAATGCGACGGTGGTGCATCGTATGAAACGAATTACTGAATTTCGTCTGATGAATTAAATTCGTCCAAGACGTTTTATCCGTCATGGTCAGACGTTTACAACGTCTGTAGCGCGTCTTCCGTTCATAAAGTCTGTTTCTCTCTTTCTGATCTCGTGGTTCTTATTTCTGGGTAATCCATGATCGCTGCTAGTTCATGGAATGAATGTCGACCAATTGACGAATTTAATCAGTAACGAATTAACTATTTGTCTGAATTAAATTCGACGTATAAAAACAGGCCTTACCGCTGATAACGTGGCCGTTTAATAGTGCATATATGCATTCATTTCTTCTTTATGACCTGCATGTGTTCAAAATATCGCAATATCCAGTTGTCTGATTAGAGTTTCCCCCGGCAGTCGCCTATGAGTCATGGAGTACCACCAGTTTGGCTTCACCAAACACAGTTTTCTCTGAATACTTGCTGCGGGAATCGAACGGCTGTTGCTCTGCGATTCCAGTGCAGCGCTCGCTCTGACAAACTTAAGAACAACGTGAAGTTTTCGCAACTGCTCCAGGGTAGCTCTAGCCGGCGACATTTAGAGGCGAGATGCCTCAAAGTTGGTTAACTTTGTAGTTTAGTTTAGCTTAATTTTGATAAACATATCAGTTAACGTGTACGAAATCATACCATTTCAAAAGGAGTTCCACTGTTGCCAGATGTCCATGCAAAGCTGAATTAAATTAATTTAAAGAAACTATGATAAATAGATTCATGATAAATTGATATCATTTTTAGCCGTGATTCCGTCTGAGTAAAAAATACGCGTTTCTGTGCGTGCAGAAGTCGCGAAATTAATGACCAAAGTCAAAGAGTGTGATAACTACGATTTAGGTACGTGGATAGTAAGAAATTGCGCGAACTACTGGAATTAATAGCGCGATCTATTCTCATGTATAAATTGGGTCAGGTGTGTATTATGCCAATTAAATTTTAATACCTGCCGTATGTAGAGGTGTTCTTCCATTGTTACTTACGGTATCCCAAATATCAGGAAAAACATCCAGAAAATGTTGCACAATTTCAACATGACCTTCCCTATTACGAAGTAAAAGATGGACAGTGACAGCAAAATTCCTACTGTGATCACAGAAACTTTGATAGGGTTGTGTAAACCAAGCTTTTAATACATACCTGGTGGCAATATGAAAGGAATTCCATCCATCTTTGTTCAATAATTTCGGGTTAGCTCCAGCTTTAAGCAACTCAGTAATTATCTCAATATTGTCTTTTGTACATGCGAGCATCAGAGGTGTCCTAGGTCAATGTTGAAAAATCTCACATTTTGTCGCAAGTCTGCCAACAAGCCGTCAACATGTTGTGTTCGCACTGCTTGTCAACAGGTTGTTACAAGTTGTTAACAAGTTGTTCCATACTTGTTATCAACTTGGGGTATCAGATTTGTTGCAAGGTTGTTCCAACAAGTCCGATACAGTCATGATAGAACAATATTGTTACAACCTTGTGCCATCAACCTTGTAACATTCTTGTTATATCATGGCTGCATGTATCAAACTTGTTAGAACAACATTCTTGTTATATCATGACTGTATCAAACTTGTTAGAACGTAACAACCTTGTAACAAGTCTGATAATGCCACCAAGCTTGTCACAAGTTGCATGTTAACAGCCTGGTACCAAACTTGTTCCAACAACTGGGAACAACTTGTCACAACTGAACACAACTTGTTCGCAGACTTGTAACAACTTGTGCGTTTTTACTTGTGTAGTTCATTGCCGACTAAAATCGGTAACTCAGTCAGCCAATCAATTAATGTTATAAATTACACTACAACTGAAGATACTATGGCTGAAATTGATGCCAATGAGATATTTAATACGATGATTATTGCATACATAATTCATAATAATGACTAATTAATTAGTGATAATTAAACCAAATTAGCTCTAACTAACCAATCAGCTCTCTTTAAACAATCAATTTCAACATTTCTTCTGATTAAATATTTCACACATTCAAAATGGCCTCCGAGAGCGGCCTCGTGTAGCGCTCTTTTGCCATCATTATTCCATTCCTCGAAACTCTCGTTACATTCTTCAACCAAATACCGTAATATGTCAATATGCCCATATCTCGCACACAATAACAAACACGTCTCCCCGGATCTAGAATGCCTCCAACTTAATATCTCATTCCTCGCTTCCTTTAAATAAACACGAAATTCTTCAATGTTTCCAGATCTTGTACATCGTAAAATACTTAGCTCTAAACTCGCAGCTTTTCGACATTTTTTTTCACTCATGATAAATATTTCGTTCATTTGTTTATATATATTTTGAAGTACGTCATGTAGTATTCGCAATGTGTACTCAATGGTACTCACAGGTAAGAATAGTAAAAATAGGTACAGCCGCGAACGTATATCCTATGGTTCCACAGTTCTGGTGGGAAGGTTGAACTTTTACAATACCATAATCATCCGCAATAATTTTCATTCATTTTTAGTTAGACATCTGTTTCACATGACAGGAATATATATCAGGCAATATACCTGATGACCAGGGGCGAAACTAGCCCCTTTTAATTAAGGTGTTTGGCAGAATGCTTGTTTTAGCGTGCTTATGAGAATCACGTATTTTGGTGTCTCATAAGCACGCTCATATATGTTTGTATTAGCGTGCTTATGAGAATCCCTCTCATAAGCACGATCATATATGTTTGTATTAGTGTGCTTATGAGAATCCCTCTCATAAGCACGATCATATATGCTTGTATTAGCGTGCGTATGAGAATCCCTCTCATAAGCACGATCATATATGTTTGTATTAGCGTGCTTATGAGAATCCCACTCATAAGCACGATCATATATGTTTGTATTAGCGTGCTTATGAGAATCCCACTCATAAGCACGATCATATATGTTTGTAATAGCGTGCTTATGAGAATCTCTCTCATAAGCACGATCATATATGCTTGTATTAGTGTGCTTATGAGAATCCCTCCCATAAGCACGCTAATATATATGCTCATATTAGCGTGCTTATGACAATCCCTTATTTTGGTGTCTTATAGGCAAAGAAAATTTTTTTTCGATTTCCCCGAAATTTTCTAAGTCTGACTTTGGTTTATAAAGGCAGCACTTGCCTTGCGATAGTAATTTCTAGTTTATGGTTGACTCGATCGCGAAGCCGGCGAACGGCTAAGCATAGAGTGCAAAACGGCTAAGCATTTCTTTTTTGTTTTGGACCGATTTAGAAATTTTCAAAATGCATAATGATGCAGAAAGTTTTGGCTCAGGAGAATTTTAAATCAGGTCACAACAATGTACGTTTGTTTTCAATATCAGTTCGTCCACTGATGGCGTAGTGGTAAGTTGTTTGGCCTGTCTCGTTCAAAGTGGTAAGTTGTTTGGCCTGTCTTGAGTTCAAATGCAGTTGAACTCATATCTTGTAGCGGTTTTTCTCTTTATTTCTCCCGGCTATTTTTTATTCTTTTAAATACATCTGAGTGAGAAATCGCTTTACAAGCAGTAGGAAATATATCTATGTTGAATCTAGTCCGAAGAAACCCAGCTACTGATTTTGTGTTGACTTCATATTGTATTCTTACACCGCATTCACCATTCACATGAGAAAATTACCTTCACCGCATAAGATAAGCAGGTCACAACAACCTACTATTGTTTTTAATTTCACAAGAATTTCCGTTCGTCCCCTGGTGGCTTAGTTATAGGTCGTTTGGCCCGACGCGATAAACATTTAAGTTCAAATCCAGTTGAACTCGTATTTTGTAGCGGACTCACAGGATTTTTTTGCTTTATTTATTCTGGCTATGTTTTATTCTTTTATACCTCTATGTCTAAAACCGGTTTACAAGTAGAAGAAAATTTTGCAATGTTGAACCTGGCCCGAAAGATCCAGCTAATCATTCTATATTGTCCTCATGTTCTATCCTTTCACAGCCATTCACCGCCATGTAGAGTCTTCTTCACCTCATGAGATGAGCAGGTCACAACACTGTACTTGTATTTTTAATTTTACACGAATTTCAGGTCGTTTACTGATGGATTAGTGGTAGGTCGTTTGGCCTGTCTCGATAAACATTTGAGTTCAAATCCAGTTGAACTCATGTTTTGTGGCGTTCTCACAATATTTTTTTCCTTTATTTATTCTGGCTATTTTTTATTCTTTTTATACCTGTATGTGCAAAATCCGTTTACAAGAATAAGAAAATATTGCCAAGTTGAACCTAGCCCGAAGAGATTAAGCTAATCATTTCTTATATAAAAATGCGCATTAAAATCCCTTGTGCCAAAAGTTTCTGCATCAATATGCGTTTTGAACCTTTCTCAGTCGGTTCATAACAATTTTTTTTTCATTTCGCCCGAAATGAGATTCATCTCATGAGATGAGCAGGTCACAACAATGTACTTGTGTTTTTAATTTTACCAGAATTAAAAGTTGTCCACTGATGGCTTAGTGGTATGTCGTTTAGCCTGTCTCGATAAGCATTTGGGTTCAATTCCAGTTGAACTCATGTTTTGTAGCAGACTCACAATATTTTTATTCCTTTATTTATTCTGAATATTTTTTATTCTTTTTATACCTCTATGTGCAAAATCCGTTTACATGTTTAACAAAATATTGCTATGTTGAACCTGGCTCGAAAAGATTAAGCTAATCATTCTATATTGTATAATTTCACAAGAATTTAAGGTAGCACTTGCCTTGCGATACTAACTTCTAGTTTATAGTTGACTATATCATGAAGCCGGCGAACGGCTAAGCGTAGTAGAAAGTATATTAAAACACGGCTAAGCGCGGCTAAGCATTTTTTCTATCAAAATGCGCATTAAAATTCCCCTGTGCCAAAAGTTTCTCCATCAATATGCGTTTTTAACCTTTCTCAGTCGGTTTATAACAATTTTTTTTTCAGTTTGCCCGAAATGAGATTCACCTCATGACATGAGCAGGTCACAACAACGTACTTGTGTTTCTAATTTTACCAGAGTTACAATTTGTCCACTGATGGCTTAGTGGTATGTCGTTTGTCCTGTCTACATAAGCATTTGAGTTCAAATACAGTTAAACTTATGTTTTGTAGCAGACTCACAATATTTTTCTTCCTTTATTTATTCTGCCTATTTTGAACCTGGCCCGAAGAGATTAAGGTAATCATTCTATATTGTATAATTTCACAAGATTTTCAGGACTTCCACTGATGGAGTGATGCCGCAGTGGTTGCACGGCTTAGCACGGCTTAGCATTGCTCATTTGCATGTGCCTTGTACTCAGAAAATCATCTCAAAATACGCTTTAAAATTCTCTTGTGCCAAAACGTTCTGCATCAATATGCGTTTTGAACCTTTCTCTGTCGATCTATAACAAAATTTTTTTTTCATTTTCCCGAAATGAAGGACGGCTTAGCATGGCTTAGCACGGCCTTGTAGGGATTTCTTCACCTCATGTGATGAGCAGGTCACAACAATGTACTTTTGTTTTTAATTTTGCAGCAATTTCAGGTCGTCCACTGATGGCTTAGTGGTAGGTCGTTTGGCCTGTCTCGATAAACGTTTGGGCTCAAATCCAGTTGAACCCATGTTTTGTGGGGAACTAACAATATTTTTTCCCTTTATTTATTCTGGTTATTTTGAACCTGGGCCGAAGGGATTAAGGTAATCATTCTTTATTGTATAATTTCACAAGATTTTCAGGACTTCCACTGATGGAGTGATGCCGTAGTGGTTCCACGGCTTTGCACGGCTTATAGCACGGCTTAGCATTGCTCATTTGCATACGCCTTGTACTCAGAAAATGATCTCAAACTACGGTTAAAAATTCTCTTGTGCCAAAAGTTTCTGCATCAATATGCGTTTTGAACCTTTCTCAGTCGGTTTATAACAATTTTTTTTCATTTTTCCCGAAATGAGATTCACCTCATGACATGAGCAGGTCACAACAATGTACTTGTGTTTTTAATTTTACCAGAGTTACAAGTCGTCCACTGATGGCTTAGTGGTATGTCGTTTGTCCTGTCTAGATAAGCATTTGAGTTCAAATCCCGTTGAACTCATGTTTTGTAGCAGACTCACAATATTTTTTTTCCTTAATTTAGTCTGACTATTTTTTATTCTTATTATACCTCCATGTGCAAAATCCGTTTACATGTTTAAGAAAATATTGCTATGTCGAACCTGGCTCGAAAAGATTAAGCTAATCATTCTATATTGTCTAATTTCACAAGAATTTAAGGAAGCACTTGCCTTGCGATACTAACTTCTAGTTATAGTTGACTCTATCATGAAGCCGGCGAACGGCTAAGCGTAGTAGAAAGTATATTAAAACAAGTCTAAGCATTTGTTATATCAAAATGCACCTTAACATTCCCCTGTGCCAAAACCTTCTGTATCAATATGCGCTTTGAACCTTTCTAGGTCGATCTAGATCGAAAGTTTTTTTTCGATTTGCCCGAAATTTTCTAAATCTGACTCCGGTTTATAAAGGCAGAACTTGTCTTGCGATAGGAACTTCTAGTTCTTAGTTGATTCAATCAAGACTACGGGTAGCGGGTTTGCGTAGTACAAAGTATAATGAAGGACGGGTTAGCATTTCTTATACCAAAATGCGCTTTGAAATTCCCCTGTGCCAAAACTTTCTGCACCAATAGGCAGTTCTGAACCATCCTAAGTTGATTTATATCAAAAAATGTTTGTAAGTCAAACATTGGTCGAAATTTTCCGAGAGAAACTCAGCCTAGTTGACTCAAGAATCCAGATAGCGGGTTAGCGTAGTACAAAGTATAATGAAGGACGGGTTAGCATTTCTTATATCAAAACGCGCTTTAAAATTCCCCTATGACGAAACTTTCTGCATCAATTTGCGTTTTGAACCTTTCTAAGTCGATCTAGATCGAAAATTTTTGTTCGATTTGTCCGAAATATTCTAAGTCTGACTTTGCTGTATGTGCAGGTCACAACAATCTACCTTTGTTTTTAATTTTGCTAGAATTTCAGGTCGTCCACTGATGGCTTAGTGGTAGTTCGTTTGGCCTGTCGCGATAAACATTTGAGTTCAAATTCAGTTGAACTCTTGCTTTGTAGCGGACTCACAATATTTTTTCCTTTATTTATTCTGGCTATTTTTTATTCATTTTATACCTCTACTTGGAAATATCCGTTCACAATTATAAGGATATATTGCGATGTTGAACCTAGCCCGAAGAGATTAAGCTAATCATTCTATATTGTTCATTTTCACAAGAATTTAGTTTATAGTTGATTTGATCACGAAGCCGGCGAACGGCTAAGCGTGGTAGAAAGTATATTAAAACAAGTCTAAGCATTTGTTA